GCTATTGTCTTATCCAAGACGGATGGTATCATTCCCATCTACACACACACACACACAATGTTATACGTGAAAACGGAGCTCAAAGCATGATGTCTAAGTGTATGATACAAATATCACACGGAAATTACCTACCAGTGCTTAGAAAATACTATTCAATCATTGTTTATTCGACTTCACACCACACATTATACATCAAATGAAAAGTCTACAGAAAATATGCGATCACTAATTCGAGTGGGAGAAATTGGAGAAATCTGAATCGACCTCCTTCATCAACCTACCTACCTATTTACCTGGGAAGCATCCTTTCAACCGCAGGTAGACATAACTGATGAGGACATCATCAAAGCGAGGATAGGGAAAGCAATTCAACTTTTCATTACTTTCAAGTCTGTGTTGAGGAGATCAACACTCAACACCCAGCATGAAAAATAAGATCCGGACTTTCGAATTCAATGTGAAGTCAGTGCTATTTAGTATACGTATCAGAGACTTGGCCAGCGCGTCACGAACGGAACACTTCGAACAAACGACAGACTTTCATCAACAGCTGTCTTCGCTAAATACTTCGCTCAAGATCAGATGGCTGGCCAGCAGAGATGAGCAACAAGAATCTCTGGCAATGAGTGAACTAACCCAGCAAGAAGCAATTGTGCAACAAATATGCAGAAAGAAATGGAGGTGAATTGGATTGGCCATACTCTGAGAAAACAAACCATCAAATGAGTAACATCACACGCCAGGTTATTGCTCGAGTGGAAGTCAAATTGGAAGCGGCCAGTTGACTGTCAGTGTGGAAATGAGGTGACGTGGAGGAGGTCATGTGAAGAGAAGAAAATATCACGTGGGCAGATGTGGGTGAGAGCAAATATGTCGGCGGAGAACCGAACGCAATGGAGACGTAAGGCTGAAGCCCTATTTCCCTCTAGGAACTTAAGGAAATAACAATATTATTTAGTAATAATAATAATAATAATTCTAATCTAGTCCGCTGGTTATTTTCACTATATAAATAAGTGAACAATTCCATTCCGTTTCGAACTCCTTCCATCTGAATTCACCCCCATTCCAGTGAATAATGCTTTGCTTATTGAAAATTGGGAGTAATACGCATCGTTATTTATTTGTTAGATTGAAGTTTGCATTTTCTTAGCTTCTCAGTGATCATTTCATTGAGATGTGCAGCACACTGGAATTCACATCTGTACTTAATATGTTAAGTGATTTTTAAATGTTAATTTCATGCAACCACAGAACACCAGTAGACGAGCCACTGGATTTCTGAGGACTTATTCAATTATCACATCAGAATTCATTGGAATATATCTTCGTCTACACAACATGACGACTTTTTCTTTCTATGCTAGTCAATGTAGAGAGCACAAATGTGAATGAAACATTTTCACTGTGATTGTAAAGTACTGTTAGTGCTATTGATTGGCTAAGCTTTATCAGCCTTACTGAAGTCAGTATGCTCAAATACCCACTGAATCAATATTCTGTCTGCTTTTTAATTATTTATAACGAAACACAAATCAAGAAGACTAATTAATTCAGTAATGTGCTCTGACGAACAGTATAGCTGAATAGAACAAAACGTCGAAGTTATTTAGGAAAACGAATTTAGTGCCTTTCCAGTTACAGGATTTCATCATGAGATGACATGAGCTAGAGAACCATTGGAAACCTGAAAGTTTTGGACAGCTGTTTTGTCAGCCTAGTTTGAGATTCTTCATCACTACTCACCCACTGCCAATGTTTGGCTGAACTACAGACTCAGAGCTTGTGCGTATTGACAGCAGAAGGAAGCGGCTCAAGATGCTGTTCGAGTACCTTTGGATATGTACCAGTTAAAAGAAAAAAACAAAACACCTGAACTGTCTGCAGTCGGGTTAGATATTTCTTTGAGTTAGTATTAAATTGGTCTGATCTGATCTACTACTTGATTAATGACGGCGGCCTGTTTAACACCTGGGCTACCTTTTCGTGCAACTTCATATTGCATCTAATACATAATGTTTTCATTCTTTATTTTAATAAAATATGATCACAAATCGTATAAAATACAGTAATTCATTCATTAAACGTTTCAAACCATATGACTTTTATGCATCTAATAAAACTAAGAGAAAACATCACGGTGGTTGGCAACGTGCTCTTAAACAGACACCTTTATATCGTACAACCATTCCTATTATTGTCACTTAAAACTGCCGTTCACTTCCCAACAAAATTATGCATCTCCAGTCTTTCTTACTATCTGATACTTATCACAATACGGCGATTGTTGCATTACAAGAAACATGGCTCCATGAACTCTATGATGACAATCTGGTTTCCCTAAATGGTTTTACATTGTTTAGACAAGATCGACTATGCTCCAGAAAGAAAAGAGGTGGAGGTGTTGCAACTTTCATTCATTCTCAATGGTCAACTTCAAATAATGTATGTTTTTCTTACTCTAATGACTTTATTGATTGTATAACGGTCAAATGCCGCCCGAAAAACTTATCCAAGTTTAAATACGTCTTCATCTCTAACATTTATGTTACTCCTGGCTGTTCTGCCTCTGATCTATCTGATTTTGCTGATGAATTCACTGAATTCGCCGTTACACATCTTGAAAACTCTTTATCAGTTGTCACAGGAGATTTTAACTGCTGTGATTGTTCTTTCCTCGTATCATTAGGTCATGCCAATATTGTTAAATTTCCTACTCGACTTGATAAAACTCTGGATCTAGTGTTTATTAATGATGAGGAAATATATGAAGTACGCAGACGTGCTCCTATCATGAACTCAGATCATTGTATTATTCGGATATTACCTAAGATATACAGCAGATCTCACTTTAATATCTTCTCAAATCTGTCCAAGAAAACACAGCAAAGGTGTTACTCACAAGAAAATATGCTCAAACTAAGATGTATGCTAAATGACACTAACTGGGAACTTTTCAACGAACACAAACTGGATGATACTATTTCCAATTTGACTGACTATCTTAAATTCTGCCTTGATATATGCTGTCCAAAACAGATAATTTTCAAAAGAATGGATCGTTTCTCTTCCCCTCATCTCAAAAAACTTCGTAGAGAAAAAGAGAAGCTGTACAAGACAAAGAATAAATCTGGTCTTAAGAAGATAAACACCCAAATTAAATCTGAAATCAAGAGACTAAACAACATTTATAATCAAACAATACTATCTTGTAAAACTCAGAAAACATATGGAAGCTTTTTAGAGAAATTACTGGTTGTGGTAAGCATAATAATTTTGCCTCTTCTATTGATGTAAATACTCTCAATAGATCTTTCATCCGCCCTCCAAATGTCCTTTCTGCCTTCAATTTAACTAATAACACGACCAGTGACTTTCATCGTTTCAATACTTCTGATGTTCTTAAATGTTTGAAATCTCTTAAACCTTCCCAGAGTCTAGGCCCTGATGGTATACCTGCCATTGTTTTAAAGAAATGTGCTGATATTTTAAGTAACCCACTTACAAGCATTTTCAATACTTCTTTTTCTAATAATGTGTACCTTCTCTGTGGAAAGATATTAAAATCATCCCTGTACCCAAGTCTGGTTCTGGAAATAGTGTTAAGTTTAGACCAATTGCCATTACCTCTCCTTTTTTGAAACTGATGGAGAAATTACTGTTACAAAAACTCATTCCCTCCCTAAGCTTCTCAAACGATCCAAAGCAGTTTGCTTACAAACAGGGTAGAAGTACTTTGGATGCTGCTGCTGTGTTTCATCACAACATTGTATCCTCCTTAGACAAAGGGGCCAAGTATGTCCGTTGTACTTTCCTTGATTACACATCTGCTTTTGACTCTGTACCTAGAGGCCTTTTGTTAAACAAGCTTAGCCTTACACAAACTGAGTCCTGGGCTATCAACTGGCTGCACTCTTACTTCTCCAATAGGATGCAGTACACGGTATATAATGGTGTAGCTTCCTCTCCTTTGCTTACTGAAGCTGGTGTTCCTCAGGGTGCTGTTCTCTCGCCGTTTCTCTTTTCCTTCTTCTTACATGACTTACCTCTCTCAGACGAAATCAACTTCGTCAAATATGCAGATGACCTGACTGTTTCGCTTCCCGTTAAGTCTCAGTCAGACTGCTTCAAATTAAATAGCTTCCTGTCGGACATCAGTCAGTGGTCTAAACTAAATGGCCTCATGCTGAATCCCTCAAAATGCCAGACTGTCGACTTCTCCTTTAGGCATAAACGAGATCTACAAACACTAGTAAGCACTCATGAAGCCTGTAGCATTGAAGGGACTAAAATTGAAACAAAGTCTAATGCAAAATACCTCGGATTAGTTCTATCTTCCGACCTTACTTGGTCATCTCATATCCAAATGATTTCCAAGAAAGTGTTTCGTCTAACCTACTACATTAAGAAACTCAGACTAACTGGAGTCACTCAACCTCTGCTTTCACAATTTGTCAACTCTCGTATCCTACCTATTCTACTTTACTGCTCCCCGTTAGTCTTTCCTGGGTTACTGAAAAAGGACTATACCATCCTGAGAAGGATGTTGAAGGTAGTTAGCAGGACTAGCGGGGTAAAACTCAGTCAGCTCGTCACTACATTAGTGGATAAGCATCTGAATACATGCAAAAATGGTCTAAAACCATACTCTCCGACCCCTCTATTCCCAACTCTCTCCTTGCATCTCATCAGGTAGAACCAGAAATCAGTATAAAATAATATATGCTCGTACAACAAAGCATACGAAATCAACGATACCATATTTGGCCAGCCCGTGTTCTCAGTGACAGAGACAAGGTAATGTTAAGCGCGAAACCTATGACTTGCTTTGTTGTTAATAACATAATTTTGGCTCTTTTATTTCTCTCTCTTATTTGTACTGTATAGTGAACAACCTTCTTAAACATACTAAGCTACCAAAAATTATTATCATTGGCTTACTTCTTTTATTTTTGTACTTTACTCTATTCCTTCTTTTGTGTATCTCCTGATTCTGACTATATTAGCACTAGGAGTATTACAAAATTATCCTGTCAATAACCTTCATGTAATATTAGTTTTGTGATTGTTTTTTTTGTTCGGCAATATTAAAACTGACAATCATGGTTGTGAACGCCGTTATCACCATCTTAAAATTTTGTATTATGCAGGATTACTCACACTATCACTACATACACCGCATTAGATCTGAGAATAAAAAAAAACGCTGAAATGTTATTTTATGATCATTTAGTGTTGTTCAATCAAATAAACTGATCATCTTGGCGATAAACATTCTCAAATATCATTTTCATCACTTCTTGTATGACTATAGCTTTACTGTCACCACGCATACACATATCATAGCTTCCACTATCTAATACTGAGATATCATTTATAATATTGTTTATTTTCCTTTCTACTTCTTCGTATTTTTTCGCATTTTTATTATTTTTGTGTATTTTTTTTGTTTTTGTTGTCTTTATATTTATTTTTTTGATAATACCCATTTTAAATGTGCGATGAAATTAGATGCAATATTGTAGATATATGCTGAAATTTCCACACTGTACCACTAGAACAGTTTCTGGAATAAAAGCAAATTATTATTATTATTACTTTTATGCGTAGGTTTTTATTTTAGTGCTGTGGAAAGTACACCACTTCATGATCTGAAGATTTGGTATGGTTGTGTGCGTGTATCCAACGTATGAAGATTCCATTAAAGTGATTTCATTTTTACAGAGTACACCATGATCCTGTGGCATACACTGCTCCATGTTTTACTTAGAAAACAAGAGATAATATTAGGGCGTCTAGGCAGAAAGACTATTTCTTAACACGACTCACTGATATAGTTTTGAACTCTTCTGGAGCTAAACAAAATCCGCTGGGCAATTGGGTGAGAGTATATTATGCATGCTATGAAGTCAGTTGATCAGTAATCATTTATCTAGAACACGTTTCGATTTATTTGTCCGATTGCAGCTAAGTGATAAAACCAAGAAGGAAGGAAGGAAGGATAGCATTAGGTGAGGACATCAGAGGACAGACGACAGTCAAAGTCCGGCAGTTAATGATCAACACTTTGGTGGAAGTGATACGCTAAACCACAGCGAAAGTGTCTATTGACGATCACAACATGAGTGAACACAATCGGAGAATGTGAATTCTGCGTCAACGCCCATGTATCAATCCTCCGATCCACATTTGGTTTTCGTATGAGCGATGTGAAGAAGCAACACTAGATATGGATTTTGTCGCTACTCGGTCATCGGGATATCAAAGGAATAGTTTGTCCAGATTGAATTCTCTACTAAATTGGCCTGATTGATGAAGTGGAGCTGTTGGTGGGGTTCATGAATTAAACTGATCAAGAATCAGACGAAATTTTGTTCAGCGCATCTAATTTGAGAAGAAGTTTTAAACTACAAGGTTTGTTGAAGTATTGAATCGATTTGCACACTGACATATTTTTAGTCTGACTGATTATTATTTGATTGAAGGTGTCTGGGTGTGTGTGTGTCTGAGCTGATGTTGATAGGAGATATTCAGTTTTCGATTTCGTTTACAGAGTATGACCAATATTTTTGGGATGAAGTTGATGATGTGGCGTAATAGGTATGTGTGTGTGAGTATGAATTGGCCACTGAAGTGAAGACGAATTATGAATGGAAGAAGCACACTCCTTACTGCATACATGCACACATTTCAGTCAAACACTTCAATCATATATACATTCGCATGTGTAAAAAGAAATTATTAATGATATCATTCTATTATTACAAATATGAAGAGTAGAAATGATGTTGATGTTGGTGATGATGATGATGCTGGACAAAACAGCTTGTACAAACCAATCAAAACATTTGAGAGAAAGACAACATAAGAAAGAAAGACAAGAAAGAAAGAAAAAACCAATGTCAAATGTAGGCATTAAAATAAATTTGGCATTCTCTCGAAATGATCGATAACACTAGTCACATCTGGACAATACATTTGCTCTGATTTCCACGGCAATTTTGTATACTGTGTTTCCCTGGAAAATAATAGAAAGACACATATATGTATATATATAGAAAAAGAAGACATTAGTCAGAAGTCATTCTCACTCAGAAGAGGTTTCCTAATGAATTAGGCATTGAATAACACGTAGATTGTGTGAGATACATAGATGTCTCTGATGACTCTAACAACCTGTTAGCACTCCCCCCAGACTGATGTGGAGGAGTCACGATCGACTGGGTGAAAATTGAGTGACCAAGCTCAAGTACCGTTAGAAACTACTTAAACAGTCATCAGATGATACGCTCGGCCTCAAATGAGCGAAACGATCGTCTGATATTTAGATTGCCTCAATTTAGTTGGCTGGTTAGCAAAAGCACTACTACTACTACTACTACTACGGTAACAACAGAAGATGAGGACCAGACAACAGATCCCTTATTGAGAAAATGAAGAATTATTTATAGATTTTTATGTACATTATTGTTAGCGGAGAAGTAACCTCTTCTGATTGGCTGTTTTCTTGGTGAATGTTATTCTGTTATCTCTTTGTGGCCGTTTCTCAGAAAATCAAGCCATATATATATATAAAATATCTGCGAATCATATTCACACACGTTAACTCCTCTGTGATTTTCTCAAGGTTAACCTTTGTTATGATTGGTTAGTAGAGATTTGACCAGCTTTCATTTTTAACATGGATTCATACTGTGATGAGAGCTAGAGAAAATTGTAGACAACAATTTACGTCAATGTTCACGTACCAAATCAGGGTCTTGAGAAGAAACAATAACCAAGCTTAAACTCGAGGAACTCACCAACCAATTACAGCAAACTTAACGTGTGCAAATACGATTCGCAGATATATATATATATGGCTTAACATTCTAGTAAACGGTCACAAACAGTACAGAATAACATCGAGCAAGAAAACAACCAGTCAGAGAATGTTACCCCTCCGATAACAATAACGAATAATAATGCACATGAAAATCTTTAAATATCTTTTGATTTTCTCAACAAATGATCTGTTGCCTGGCCCTGGTATTCTGTCATTACAATATGAGAATATCAGAATGATTGAAATCCATGGAGCAATTGGTTTGGGACTTTTCAACAGTATTCGCCCATCACACATCACCATAGCGGATAGAACCAGACAACTTCAAGTTGCAAAGCGAGCTTGTCTAACATTCAGCCGCTTGGACGAAATCAAGTGACTTATTAAATCTAACTTCTGTCAGTTCGCCACATATATACATACATAAATCGTGATTGTTAATCAAATGTTAACAGCAAGCAGTTCTCCTCGCATCCCATATGGTCACGAATTGTCACTATTTACAATGATAAGTGATTCATCACTAAGTCAACAGCCTCGACAGTCAATATATCACATCCTTAGGATGAGCGTTGACGATTATTTCCTCGGTAGAAGGAGTCACATTCTAATCGGTGACGCATTAAGTTACTAGAAGCGAAGCGCAAAAAACAAACTAGCCACAGCCTCAGGGTTATTTACTTGAACAAATCTGCAGGTATTTACATTGAATCAAACTACATATTATTGCTATTTCAACTAACTATTCTCCGATGAGCTTTGTTGAATTAGGTGGACAGGGAGAGGCGGAAAAATGAAGATTATGTCATGAAGATACAACACCCTCGAGCTACGACAGTCCTACACAGACAAAGAAAAACACATATACATACACACAAAACTCACGTGAATGCGAGTTGTTCACTTTTGGGTAAATTAAATGTCGACTGTGAATTGGATCGATCAAAGTAGTACAACTTTCCAGTACTTCTACTGATTGCTTCTATCCAATTCTCTGTATTAAATGAAAACCACATATACATAACTAGTCTGTACAATAAACATACCAATCAATATGGCCTTAGAAGCAGTTAAAAAGGAACCAACTTCTGCTCCCGAGTTTACTCATATGAGAAAACATTTTTAGGAATTCAGTTATGTCTCACATCTACCGTCTTTAGATTCCAAGGCAAAATATATAGACAAGCAGAAGTTGTAGCAATGACATGGGTCATCAACATCCCCTATCGTAGCAGATATATGTATGGACAGTTTGATATATTTAATCCTATTCCACAGATGTGGTGGAGATATGTGGATGACACTTTTACTCACAGTGTTAAAAACAGAACATATCTCTCTCCAGCTTCATGACACACACAAACTTACTAGTGAAGGGAATAAAATTCACATTTGAATCGGATAATGAACAAGGAGAATTAGCTATGACATTAGATTGTAAAATAAAACGTACAGAAGAAGGTAAACTGAACACTAGCGTCTACAAAACGCCAACGCGTTCTGCTAATAGACATTTAGACTTTGACCTATCTCATCCGTTGTCTATATAGGCTGGTTTACCTTGGGTGTCTAACACACCGAGCAATAGCACTAAGTAGTACAACGAAAAGCCTAAATGATGAAATGAAACAGATAGACGAAGTGCTGGTATCAAAAAACCATCCGATAAAATTCATTAGAAAGATCGAAAAAGGTCAAAAGTAAATTAAAAATAATTGTAAAACTAGTAATGATAACATAAATAAGAGAGAATATAAGGCATCTATAGCTCTATCATATAAGGAGGGGACAATCTCTGTAGGCTAAAGGACCCTGTCGGTGAACCCAATTAAACAAAATAATATAATTTACAAAATACCTTGCAATGACTGTGAGTTAAGTCAACTACATAGGTCAAACTAGCAGATAAGGATTGGTGGGATTATCAGAACATTGTCAGAACTTAGCTGAGGTTAGAATGATTGATCCCATTCGCGAAGATAAGTAATTTAGAAAAGAACTGTACAATCGCATTGCATGCATCAGCATACAACCACACAATACAATAGGGTGGTAGTCAAAATTCTAAAAAGTAATAAAAGTAGGTGGAGAGATTACTGAATTGATTACTGAATCCTGCCTGATTCATCGAGTCTACACTCAACAAATGCGACAGAAATGACTTAATGCGTATACCAGAGATATGGAAGAAATTAATACAGCCAATTAGTTAAATCAGAGGATAGTAAAATAATGTTGAAATTCTGTTCCAATGCACATACATTATATATAACATTCTAACAAGTTACTTATTTTTACTGTAAAAAGTATCCTATTTCCCATTTGACTGTATTTGATTGATAACACTAATATTATTTCTGAATGGACTTAATCTTATATTATCATTATTTCCTTTAATTCCCAGAGGAACATAGGGCTACAGCCATGTGCACCCATTGCGTTCGGTTATCTGCCAATGCTTCCACCTGGCTCTGCGCGTCTGCCCACATGCTTTCATCTCCTCTTCGCATCACCTCCTATCCTCCATATCACCCTCGCACTGAGGACCGATTCACCGCTTCCCTTTCGGGTTCCACTCAAGCAATGCCCTGGTGTGTGTGATGTCACTTGATAGTTTGTTTTCTCAGAGTAGAGCCAATCCACTTCCATTTCTTCCTGCATATTTGTTGCAAAATCGGTTCCTGGTTAGTTCACTCATTACCAGATATCCCTATTGCTGATCCTTTCTGGCCATCTGATCTTGAGTACTATTGAGCGAAGACAGCTATTGATGAAGGTCTGTAGTTAGTTCAAGGTGTTCTTTATGACGCGCCAAGTCTCTGATCTGTACAGTAAGTAGCACTGACTTCACATTGGAGTTGGAAATCCGGATCTTATTTTTTTTGCTGAGTGCTGTTGACCTCCACACAGAGGCTTGAGAGTAATCTTATATTGATTTTATTCAAATGTCTAATCATAAGTTTTTACTCATGTATTCAAATGAAGCAAAATAAAGTAGTGTGAGCGAGTGACCTGATATGATTATGAGTGACAATAATAAATTGTGCTCGAAACGTGGTCTCATCAGTAATTACTGCTGTATAACACCACTGTGTGATTTATCAAAACAAAATCTTATCCATAATGGAGTTGTACTCTACCACCAGAGTACTCAAGTTTTATACTTAAATCAAAAATTAATAGGAGACTCAATAGATGAAAATGGAAGTAACGAGAGAGAGAGAGAGAGAGAGAATACTTGCATCAGACTTCCATCTCAGATTTTGACACCTTTCAGAAATTGTAGCCATTACAGGTATCCTGATCTAAAATCAATGAGAACCTGTCCATAGAGTTGGTAAAATGCAACTAGAACAACTGCATATTCAACAATAATAAGTCCCTTACACAGATTTAAATACCCTGATTACAAAGCAGAGATTATCTGATAAATGTGTCATCTATTTTCGTAGAACGGAATAATCGTTTGGAAAATCATTACTGAACAATCTAATCACGATATCTATGCTTATTTGGCTGTTTCAATTAACTCTGTTAACTTGATCCTTATCGTCTTTCTCTGTGCCTTTTCGATGAGATTTTGTTTGAGTGAATCAAGGTGATTCTGACCTTGAACTGTCTGCACGAATTGTTTGGTGTGTGAATCTTGCCAACAGCGATTTAATCCCCTCTCGATTCTAAGATACACCTTACCGTTGAATTTTGGATAACTAATTTTCTCCTACAGTACTTGTCTGTTTAAACCATAGAAACTTATCTCAGGGCACTGTTGACGTAATTTTGAGTATTTCACGTTAATACTGTTAAATGGCATCATAGATCTAACGGTAAATAATTGTTTTTGTACATCTCTGAAGATATTTTCGATGAGCTATACAATAGCAGAAGGCAAAGATCAGTTCCCCACGTTCAGATAACAACGAGTCGGTTTTCATCGTTGCAGTCTGATCACAAATGCTTACTTGTCAAATCAGTTTACGTGAAACCCAAGCAAAATGTTAATGGGTTCAGGAATATGAAGGAACATGATAACACTACTCTTGGTCATATCGTCAAATGAGGAATAACAAGGTGTGTTAAGGCTAATAATAAATAGTTGTTGTGCACACAGTAGGTGGAGGGCTTCAATTTTTCGGATAGCTGTGTCACCTCAGCGTCTTGAATATTAAACACCATTGCTACTAAGACTCCAAATCGGAAGCATAAAGCTCTACGTCCCACGGAGTACGCAACAGAATAAAACTAAAAGACGAAAATGAAAGTGTACCACCTATGTTAATCGAAGTTCTACAGTCCATTTATTCGAAGTAACAACCACCGAGATGGTTAGGACATGTACTACGCATGTCTAGCCATCGCCTTCCTCAACGATGGGTAATGTTATCTGACGTTGCAGCAAGCTGGATTAGATCTAGTGGTGATGGTCAAACCAAAACATGGCTTGATCAGTCGATGAAATCCACAACAGTTTGTTTAGGCCAGCTACGAAGGAAGATGTACACTTCCTGGTTGGTTGAAGTCTTCGGGACGGTAAACACCACTGGTTGGAGCCAATTGGTGATATGGCTAAAAATCGTTATGAATGACTGACACAGATGCATCCACTCCTTGTGACCTATCATTTTCAATAAAATTACATTGATCTTCGTTACTATTATTCCTTTGTCTCACACCTCTGTTTACTGTCTCTATTATGCATTTTTTTTTCTACTTTCTTCTCTTGATTTGTGTTATACACGGAGTGTGGAGACTTGGACTGGTGCACATCGTTGCAAAGTTCTATGTCGAAAACAGACAGACAGACCATTTGGGTAAATGTTCTTGCAACCCCAAGTGCAAAGCCCAAATACACGTCCTTATATATATGTGAGCGTACAGGCATAGATACACACATATAAATTGATAACGGATTTTAGGCTCTCTAAGATTTGACTACTGATCAATGTAAGTCATTCGACCACTACGCCAATACAGTTACCGATAAGAGAAATGATGATATCATCACGAAACGTAACCAGAGTAGATACACAGATACTTCACTTTGCAGTTAGTTAGTTAGTTAGTTAGTAAGTCATGAGGTAGGCCAAAATTTCTAATTAAAGGAATGCATGTGAAGAGTTATCAACAGCCAGTCAGTCATACTGTACACGATTACGCATACAAGACAAAACTACTACCACCTCACATTTCCTTTGATGGATTCACATGCTTATAAAAAAAAATGAGTTCATGAACCTAGATGCAGGAAGATCCAACTTCTACCGCATATCTTTCGATTGTTATTTCATTCCATTAGATCATTTATGACTGATTCAAAAAAGTGGAATTAGAAAACAAAATCAATAATCGAGGTGAATAATGTGACAAGTATGAAAGTTTACGTTTTAAAAATATGAAGAAAAATTCAAATACTAATGCGTACAATTATCAAGCTTGACAATTTCACCTACCTCTCATATGTTGAACTAACAAGACAGAATTCGGTTGAAATGCAAAACCATCGGGGAGACGATGCATTGGCACAGGTACTGGAGAATCTTTACACGGGAGAATTGGCAGTCTAAGGAGACAAATTAAGCATATTTATTATTGATTAAAATTTATTAAAACATAAACATGCCACATTATTGGCACCAAGAAAGATGTAACACAAAAAATCTCTTTAGGTTATACGAGATCTGGAATAATGAGTTGAAACGCTGAAAATAAAGCAAAGCGGTTGGCTTAGAGAAACATCCCACTTTAACCTCTCACTTGAAGTCTGATACACACGGTAGTAAAGCAGGGTGGGGAGCCACGTACTCATGGATCCGGATGACTGAAACCCACATACAAGCTATCCAACTCGTTGAGATTCTGCAGCCCAGCCGTCTACTTTCACTAATATACTGTTTTTAACAATCGTCGTCTTCTTAGATGTCCTCTTCATAAGAAAATCACATGGTTATATAAAAAGACATTTACATAAGGTGAGTAGGCGCACGGGACAATGTACACAGCTCCGTTGTTTTCTTTCTTCCTCTCCAGTACAAAATGGTTTTTTGGTGAGGACACTCAACCACACACTACACATTCAGTAAATGCCTTCCATTAAGACCGTACATGACATTTTAATTGGGAATAGTTGTCAGTCAAGAAAATTTCATAATGAAACATAAGGCCATCATGAAAGTCGAAATGTAATGGTCTTTGTCCGTAAGCATGCATATGTGAGTGTGATTCACAAGTGACGTATCAGTCGACATTATAAACCAACAAATCGAAAAGAAAACCGATTCAAACAAATTTTGAATATAGATAAGTTGCAGCTCAACTTTGCTACACGAACGGTGGTGACTGACTGCTTCGTCAAATGAAAGACGAATTACCTGGGCTAGCTGCCTCTCCTCCTTCTATCCATCAATTGAACTGCTTCTGTAGAGCTAGGAAATCGTATTCGACGTTGCTCTCGGAGAACTTAATTGATCATCCAAAGAAAGATGATGCAGTGAAAACCAGAACCACTTCAATATCAAATTGACTAGTGCATAAAACTGGTCATAAAACTAGTATGGAGGAATCTTTCCCAACCACCTATGCGGTAGGAAACACCGCTCGATACTGAATGCACCAAACTGCAGAGGCCATCGCTGTTTGAGTAAAATAGCCACAGCTCTGTGTGTTGTGTTACTCTGGCCTCCTGTGGAGCCTATTGATTGAAACAATCTGCATTACTTCATTTAACTCTATCCGATATTCAATTTAGTGTTAATAATTCCACATGCTGTTAAACCCTGACTTATTAGTCCAATTGTTTCAATGTTTTTTTTAAAAATTGTTGTTTAAGACATTGATTCGTTTAGTGTACTTTGTTCATCAATCTCAGTGTCTCTCTCTTTCTCTCCCTCTCAAACACACACACACACATACCTACTCCATACAAACAGACACACTGGCATTTTGTGTACTGTATGCTCACAGCATAGCTGAACAAGCAAAGCTTATGTGCAAGCATATGGAAATGTACACACACACACACATACATCCAATGTGATATGTGAGTTTCACATGAATAGCATAATATGCAACAGAGATCTCAGTGATCCTTGTTTTTTTTTCAATTCTTACATGCAAAGATGATCTGTAACTTGAACCCCTTGCTACCTGAGAGAGTCAAATCAATTGAGATGCTGTGCGCAACACATACTATGCATATAACTGCATAGACCAGGGTAAAATAATCCTATTAACTAGTAGATTTCGAGAAGTCACAGGCATATTTCTCACCTCTATTACACAAATCATCTCGGCAGCACTGTTCCAACTATAGATGCAACAACACCACGGATGAGCATATAAAAAAAACCAACCGGAATCGCAAAGACAAGAGAGAATTTCATCATTCGGAAATTAATTTGGAAATCTTCTGCACCAGATCAGTGTAAAGAACGAAATTCGGATTTTTCACACCAATGTTAATTCAGTCAGTCAGTTCTTCTATAGGGGTGGGGCACTGGTCCTGAGAGTCATGAAGGGCATTTCCGACAACCAGCTATAGAATTCCATCAATAGCTGTCTTCCTTATCGCTATATTGAAGATCAGATAGCAAACCAACCAGCCAGGAAGAATTAGCTAGAAGAAACTATGAGAATCAACCAACCAAGCTGTAGCTTAATAAATATTCAGAAGAGAATGAAAATGAACTGGGAGCGCCACGAAGAGACCGTCGGTTGCCGTAGCGCAGCAGGCCACCTCTTCGATGGAATCCGAATGGAAAACGACGAGTTGAGCATTGGTCCAAGGGTGACATGGAGGCGATCGTGTTGGGAGGAAGTGAGAGCCTATCGGTAACCGTGGGGTTTGCTAAAAAGGACGACAGTGAACAGGACAAACAAAGTGAGGACGTGTTGTCGGTGCCCTATACTTCACTCGGAATCCAAGAGAACAATAATAATAAGAATTCACAAACTAACCACATGCTCATCTCCAGCTTCCATTTCCAAAGACAGCAAAGCAGCCAAGCAGGGTATGGAAGTCTATTGTATGACATGTTTCACACAGTCAAGTAGATGTCCCAGACTAACTTTATTCATTGAAAACAATCTTCACATTGTCTAAACAAACATTGGAGGATCTCAGAACTACTTGAACATAGATAGTGTTGACACTAAAAGTCACATAAGGTATGGCGGTCCTACATACACACACACACTGTTAATAGGTAGTAGCAATGTGATGAATTTGTAAGGGTGGCATAGGAACGATACCACGCGGGGAAGTATAATGGCGACAATAGTGTCAACAGTTTGTGCCGGCCGCAACTAGACTGTGAACTGAGTACAGCTGCAGAAGATTGTCCCATTTATTTGGTGTGCGTCCATTTGATTCCCATAGATGACTGTCACATGACTCACGCCAAAACGCAAGATGTCTACATTGTAAAATTAAATTTTCAGTTAGCACCACCATATCTGTCAAGTCAGGCATAGAGGCTTCGGGCTTGATTTCTCAATAAGGTGGATGGGGCTGTAACCTGCACGCCAAACGTGCCCTGACTTTTCCCAGCTTAATGTCAACTAGAGAACTGGGAAAGGTTTAACACTGCGACAGACGTGAATGGTTGGTCAGCATTCGACCACTGAACCATCGATTTACATCCGAATTATAACCCCCATCAAATCGCTTAATATAAAGTTAGGTGTGATTAAATACCACGACATTTCATGCTGGCTTATTCTTACATGAATATAAAACATCTCGCCTTATAACGCATACACGACTATTGATGGAAGGTACAGTAGAATAATGATTCTCCAAAACTTCACATCACTTAGTGCAACACCAACACCAGGGAAACTAGATGCTAACGTCTAACAATCTGCGACTAATGAGGCATGGACTAATAATCATTGACAGATTGACAAACTGTCTCAACAACTTCATTGAGGTGTGATTGACTCATTTGTGGAACGCAGCATACAAGACCGTATAATAACAGTGAATCGATACAGTTCAATACACTTCCGAGAAGCAGACATCACAGTTGGGAGAGAAAGACATGATGAGAGTGCAGCGAGGGAAAACCAACACGACAGAGGGAAAGAGAGAAAGAAAATAACTATATGAAGGACAATCACAATTTGGAGTTTGTGTTTGGTCGTATTTTTGCCCGAGTGGAAACAATCTTTTAGCGATTTCACCAACATCCCTCACGCAATCATTAATTTCTAGCTTTACGACAACTCTAGGCAGACAGTCTACATCTCAATCCACATATACAGTATCTAGCAGTGGAACCCAGAACACGCATTTCGGTCACTCTGGAAGTCATCTTCTGAAAGCAACTGAAATCCACATTAATTGATTTTTTTCTCAAAGTGATTTCTCATCTACATGGATCAGACTGATCAGCCAATCAGTCAATCAATTAGGAAATCTATTTTACACCATGAAGTGGGTGACAGACTGTCTGACTGACTTCAACACAGAACTTTGCACCGATGTGCAGCAGTTCAAGTTGCCAGACTCCATGTAGCACACAAAGCAAGATAAGAAAGTAAAAAGAAGCGCAAAACAGAGACAGTAAACGGAGATAAGAGACAAAAAGAATAGTAACATCGAAAAACAATACAGTTTCATTGGGTATTATATGTCACAAGGAGTGAATGTCATTGCACCATTGAGAACGACGATTTTGAGCCATACATCACTGACTGTCTCCAGCCATTGGTTTTTACCGTCCCGAGGACCCCAGCCTCGAAGTTTATACCTTCCTACGTGGTTGGCTGGCCGGCTGGCTTAAACTAACTGTCGTGGATTTCATTCACTGATGAAGTCATGCTTTGGTTTGACCACCACTGGCTGTCTCTTTTCCAACCTGATTCATACTATGCCAACTAACATTGCCCATTGTCGAGGAATGCGACGGCTTGGCGTGCATACGTAACACATGTCCTAACCATCACCGTCAATGTAACTTCACAACCTCGTCTATTGATTTCCCCTCTTTATTTAGCACTCAAACGAACCCTAACCCCAATATTGCTCACTCTATTATACCAATTCACACTGGAGATAGAACGCACGCACCTATGATCAAAGACAGCTGACCGGCCTTTTCATGTCTTCCACTTTCAATGGCCATTTCTCACTCACATCCATAAAGGAGCATGGAGAGGACTGTCGAGGAATACACACATCTTTTGGTCGATAGCCACCCAGATATCATGTCTATGTATGTATATGAAGACATCAAGAAAGAAACAATCTACTCACTTTTTCTTATAATCACCGAGTTCAGATAATTTTAAAATTGGAGGAACACGAACATTTGATGAATGCATATCAGGAAAATTAATTATACTTGTCATTTGTTCAGCCAACTTCATTCTAAAAAAAGGTGTAAAAAATAATCAATAACACAAAACAGAAATAAAACATAAAGGCGACAGATTAGACTGACTAATTGACTGACTCAGTTTCAAAGCAAAATTCTGCACAGCAGCGCAGCAGTTCAAATTGCCACACTCTCTTCATAGATTACATGAAACTAGTGAAGAAAAAAATGATATTCACTAGGACTGTTATGTGTGGAAATGGATGAGGGAAAGAGAAGGACCATGGAAAAATACTAGAGTTTCATAGATTTGGAAGATAGCAAGCAATGAATCCATCTGCTCTACTGATGACGATTTTCAGCCATATCATTCAACAGCCTCCAGCCGTCAGTTCTTAGTACTCCGAGGTGCCCAACAGTCAAAGACTTCATGGAGTGATGACACACCTTGGATTGACCCAACCCTTCAATGCTCTTCCAACGTAACTCTCTATCACCTAACAAAGTTTGACAAGGAAGGAGGTTGCTCGGTAAGCGAAACACCAGTACCATGAATTTTAACCTATGTAGCTTCACAACCTTACCGAATAACTTCTCTTCTATATCCGGCCACCCTATACCTACCTACCTAACATCGAAATTCCTCACCATATTATACCATGTAACACGGGAGATAGAATGCAATGCATTTGCAGTCGAAAACAGCTAACCTTTCCAAGTCTTCCACTCTCAATGTTCATGGATTACAGCCTTAAAGAAGAACAGACCGATTTGGTGAGTAGTATACATGTCGTCTGATGGACACCAGGATATCACATCAACGGATGAAGCAGATTGCTGTGCAACTTCGACTTACACATAAATAAAACTTCTCATGTATACTCCTCTACGACAGGCATACTTATTATTGTATAACAGAGTGAGTTAAACTGTGAAGTTGTTGGAAAAAGGTTCGAACCACAGAGAGTGCAAAAGTACTTACCTCATTTTGTACGGTAATTTACGACAATCTCTACCATAAATACACACAACATCATAAATGAACAGTGCAGGTTTGCGTAATCCACTCTGAAACACCAAAAAAACAACAATAAACGAAAATAATGAAGAATAGAGTGTGTGTGTGTGTTTGAGAGAGAGAGAATGCAAGAGTGCAAAGCTACGAAGAATATGTATAAATTCACTTGGTATAACACTGTAACGACAGAAAAAAAGGGCCAGGTAACAAATTGTTTATTCAGAAAATCAACATATGTAGATTATTATGTACATTATTACCAGTCGAGAAGCAACCTCTTCTGGCTGTCTGTTTTCTTGTTGAAGGTTATTCTGTACTGTTTGTGACCGTTTCTTAGAAAGTCAAACCATACTTCTGCGAATCGTATTTGCACACGCTAAGTCTTCTGTGATTGGTTGTTGAGTTCCCCAAAGTTAGGCTTTGTCATTGTTTTTCTCTTGACCCTGATTCGGAACGTGAACATTGACGTAAATTGCTAATTAATTGGTGGGTGGTGACTAGCAGTAGAATCCAGGATGTGCATTTCGTCCTATGTCGGACTCGTCAGCTGGATGTACCTGCATTTCTCAGTGAGTGATGATGCGCCCACCGAGGCACGAACCCAGTGCCCATAGTTTCAAACGCCAAAGCGTTATCCACTAGACCACTTGGGCCACGAGAGCCACCTCTTGTGCAACGGGCCATATTAATTTAATTGAATTTTTGATTTTCCAGTGGATTGATTGGACCAAAGTGCTCGGTCTCAGGTTGACATGTCGGCTTCTTGTGCAGATGCTTCGACGACATCTGGTCAACGAGTCCCAAACAGGACGAAATGCGTATCCTGGATTCCACTGCTAGTCACCATCCACCAATTAAATACTAATTAAATGCCCAGACATCGTCGAAGCATCTGCACAAGAAGACGACATGTCAACCTGAGACCGAGCACTTCGGTTCAATCAATCGACGGGAAAATCAAAAATTCAATTAGACGTAAATTGCTGTCTACAATTTTGGCTTGTTCGCAGCCAGCTCTTACCACAATACGACTAGTTAAATGAGCACTAATCAGACGTTGGGTGAGAGAAGTGTCTTCTGAGACCTGTATCTCATGCATCGGTCATATTAGGTCTATTATACAATACAATGGGAAATTCAATAATTACTTCAATGAACGTCAACGGGAAAGATATTAATGAAGCCACTCCTCTCAATTACCTAGACAGCGTCGTTTCAACTACAAGCCGTACACATGAAGAAGTTAAAGCAAATCAGAATCGAGAAAGAGAGAAAAACATTCATCACTTTGAAAGCAGTGTGGAAATTTAGTGTACTCAGTCTAAGGAACAAGACCTCAATCTTCAACAGTAATGTCAAACTACTGCTTGCATATGGTTGAGAGACTTGATGTCCTCCTCAGCGGAAGCATTCCAAACAAGCTAATGCGGACTTTTACCAACAGATGTCACCAATCTCACGCCGAGATTCAGACGACTGACCAGATAAGGTAGCCAAGGAACAAAGGACTGCGGAGATGAACCAAACAACCAAACATGCAGAAAGAAATGGAGATGGATTGAACAAAGTCTGGAAATACCTTTAGGGGATAAAACGACAGAGATATAAGAACAAACTGCCCCATTTCGCCTCTTCTATTTGTATCTACAAGTTTAACTGCTGGTAGCTACGGAGCTAGTCACATTTGACGTGCGATCACGCAATCTCATAGTCGGATTTCTAAACACCTTCCATCATGGTTTGGTAAAGGTTCAAGTAGAGCTACATACACAGTTCAATCCTACCTGATCTCGTCCATACTGGATATCAAGTTGGTTCTAAGAAGGCTTCAGTCTAGGCAACTAGGCTGCATAACTAGCTCCTACACAATAAGTGTGCTTACAGCCCATACACTGGGTAATTGAGATCTCACTAACTCACCAAGGATTATGCTGTGCAATGTAACAGACGCATACACGCAAACACACACACACACACTGTACACATAAATTAGTCATTGAAAGTAAGTTACCTTTACAGCGTATTCATTAACTGGTTGTCCCCAAACCAAAGTACCAGGTGGTAGACGAGGTTTCAATCTAGGCAGTACTTGATCCAGTCTCTCCCATTGATCACAATCTGATGCACAAAATATATCCTGGAATGATAGAAAAAGAGAGGAAAGTGGAAGACAAAGTACACAAATTAGAGAAATGTGTTCAAAGGAACTATACTGTACTGGAGGGGAATGTGAGGCAACTATACAGTCAGAGGAAACGAATTTAATCAACGTATGATAAACGAAAATGTAAGCTGGCAGGAAACGAATAATTAGAAAGAACAATGTTGAAGATTTGATGAGGATGAATCCATCTGCCCCCAATGAAAAGAATTTTAATCTATTTCATCGACAGTCTGCAGTCATTCGTTCCTAATGTCTCAAGGATCCAACCAGGTAGTCTCCCTACCACCCTTAACTCATTTCCAGCCTAATTCCTATGTCAGTTAGCATTGCTCGACAAAGAAGGTGATGAGATGACACAGTCAGTGTATGTAACGGCTGATATAATACCACTCAGTTGTTCAGACTGAATTAAACAGAGCAGTATTCGAACACTGGACTCACAGTCTGAAAATCGAGTAATTTAGGCAATGAGCGCATCGACAGTCAGAAGGATGATGATTCAGAAAGTTTTGTGTATTCATGAAAGTGTACGTGAGGGAATGAGGAGAGTGATCACTACTTCCTACCTATCTACACAATGGAAATTGATTCCTTCTTGAAATATAATAGACACTACAATACATTTTTGGTAAATATAAATACGACTGTACAGCCTGTGAAGATGGTTTAGCCGATAAAGAAGATTTTCTTCGCTGAATTATCTCTTTTGTTTCCTTCGTGACTCAATGGGTATTTTCGGTGATTCCTGAAATACCTCAAAAAGAGAGGGAGGACTAGTGTTGTATTTACCAAAGAGTCCAAAAGACATCTGGTAAAGACCGACCATACACGGTCTGTAAAACGTATCCAAACAATTGCCCATATGATCTCAACGCCTGTTCTTCACACGATTCTATGTCACTCTCCAAACCACACCTAACTCGTCGTTTATCATTCTGCTCCCACTCCAGTGACAGCTTGGAGCGCGCGATGTCATTCGACGGTCTCCTCACCATGCGTCTGATACAGTGTTTTATTAGAGTTAAAGGTTCTTGATTGATTCGATCGCAGAGTTTCTTCACGCCAATTCTCTCTGTCCGGGAATCTAATCCTCAATATGGCAGCTGTTGGGAAAAGTCTACCATAAGTCTGTTCAAAATGTTTCTGTGACGCGGGTGGCAAATTTCCGACCCAGATAGAAGAGATGACTCAACATTAGTGTTGTAAACACGAATTTCGTATATTATTGTGAGTGGAGAGGATTTTCAAACTAATTTCCGATCGATGGAGGCCTGTTCCGTTTCTCCGATTCTGGTTTTGACATCTTCATTAGCGCGGCAAAATGACGCTTCCGAAATAAATGAAAAAAGCAACCTCTTTCAAATTTGTTTTGTCAATAAATACAGATTCATGTTTCACCTGGGGTAAAGAAGGATAATGGAGACTGCTGCACAGTACACACATCTTTTCATGGATAGTTTGATATCGCGTCTCTGCCAGAGATGGCGTAAGTTGGCGAATGCTACACGAACCTTGTGTAACCGTCATGAGATTACATCAGCAACCACTCTATTGGGGCTAATTTCAACTTCTTAAGTAAGTCAATTGAATCTAACCATTGCGAGAGGTGTTCGACCATGGACTTACCTAAATAACACGCCTATTGTGTTGTTTTCAAAAATTTATATATTAGTATAGAATCGTTAATGTGGGACTAGTTGGATACGAATACTTATGCATGATTTTGACATATTGTTCCGGGTGGATATCTCATCACTGATTACCTAGACGACAGAAATTGTTCAGTGTGTACTCGATGTGATTTCTATTGAACTAAACGCTGACAATGTTGTCTAGACAGACAATGAAACTTCTACAATCGAATCATCCAATTCAGTGACCACTAGAATGATCCATACGAATTATAGCCACAAAAGGCATGACCAGCATTCACGTAATAATGAACATGACCAAGATTTCAGGTCATATGAAAATGGCACGTGTCAGGTGATCCACAACGGAAAGCTCAAGCGAAACCTTTGAATTGAAGACAGGAGTAGGAGAAGGCTGTTTGCGTCTACTATCACTGATGATATTCTAAACTGCGATGGACAGAATTACGTGACAGATTGTGGGTGGAGAGCGAGAATACGGAAATATGATGGACCAATAAGAAGACTCCATCTAAAAGATCTGAATTCCGTGGATGATATATGTCTAATGTCACCCAAACTCGAAGACTTACAGACGAAAACCTACAAACTGGTTGAAGAAGCAGAGAAAACGGGTGAAACAATGACAAGCCCTAATCAATATCAACGGGAGCGATTTGAACGAGATCGCTCCCTTGACTTATCTAGGCAGAGTCGTTCCAACTACAGGCATACCACATAGTTGGGGTTGTCAAAGCCGGCTAAAATCAGAAAGGAAACGTATTTCTTCTTCCCTCGAGAATCAGTTTGAAATTCTTCGCGACTTCGTAGCATAAAGAATCGAATTCATATTTATGACACCAATGTTAATCCAGTCATTTCGAACAGGATACCACAGACTTTTGTCAACAGCTGCCTTCACTAACCGAATACTGAAGATAGGATGGCCGGTCAGAGAGCATCTGCGAGAAACAACTCTAAGAACGACCTCATTAGGAACCTATTGTTCAGAAAAGTGGACAAGGACAAACAAAGTGGATATGGGTTGAAAACATGTTGATAAAACCATTGGGTGACGTCACGCGCCAGACCATCGCCTAAGTGTAAACCGAAAGGGAAATGACGAGTTATCCACGTGTACGACGGTGACATGGAGTAGATCGTGTGAGGAGGAGTAGGAGGAGGAGGTGAAAGCTTACAGGCAAGTGCATGGCCAGCTAAAGTGAACTTCAGAAAGTAGGATGAAGTGAAAATGTCTTCTTGAAGCACTATGTTCTACTCCGAACTCAAAGAAACATAATAACAATAAAAAGATTTTAAGTGTTTTGTAAAGACTTCTCTCGATTTCAGTACAGATAAATTTTGTCACACGTCGACATTATTCAGAGAATCACAACTGTTATGCACGGATCGAAAGAGTCGCAAATTAATGACAGATCAACAATTAAGTTACTACTGCTAACTACAATAAAAATTATAAATAAAATAATTAAAAATTGATAACGGAAAGTATTCACACATTATACGATGCTCACCATAGCTCCACTTCCACGTGAATAAATAAACATTGATTTAGCTGGTTCAGAAGTTGACGTCAATGATGGATTACCACAGATTAAAACAATTCGACTAACATTTAAACTATCCAAATTATTCAAATGTTCTTCAGTGAACGGCGTTAATCGAATATTTGTACGATAATCAGATGGTAGCACATTCAACGGTGTGAACTTCTCTTTATCCTAAATTGTTGAAATAAACAAAACATGAGCACAATTAAACAATCATATATATATATATATATATATATATATATATACATCCATTAAAAATACGTATAGAAAAACTGTGTCTAATCACGAATAACTGCCTTCAGCAGTGATAGAATACCGTTAGAGACAAACTCTTATTACAGCGCTATTACAAGACATCTTGATACGGGCCCTGAGGTGGAAATCGCGACATTCTTTAAAATTATCAATAGACAAAGGAGCTCGATTCTCCTCAAGTTTGCCAAAGCAATCTCCAGCAAACGCTTGAAACCAGATTTATGTATTCAGAAAGAAGCCGTTATAATTCACTCTGTCCTTGCCCCTACTCGTAACTGGATGTCTTTATTCTCTCTTTCATTTCATTACATAATCTTTGGCTTTAACCTCACCCACCCCCCTTCGATATAGTGTAATTCTGCTTGTCTCTTGTTTCTATGATTTGAGTTCAACTCAGTACATTGTTACCCAGTTTATTAGACACTTAGCTCCTTACGTGGCTCTCATCTTTATTACGTAACTTCTTTACCATTCTATGCACACATTTACTTTGTTTAAACTTGAACTGCCTGTGTAAAAGATATATAAGTGCAATTTTCTGAGCACTGTTCACTAACCGCAGAACTTTCTGTCAGTTGACATTATGAAAACACTTGCGAATATGTTAAAACTTTTCTCTACATAAACCTCATAATTTATTTATGCTGTAAGCAGCTGACGAGGAGTCAATCAAATAAATGATGGTACTGTCACCTTATTCTGCACAAACCACACTGTTGTTCTTGCTTTATTCAAACTAATTTGTACTGGCTAGCTGTTTCACCATGCTTAGGAACTCATCAACAGTACGCAAATATGACACTATGATCGAGATAAACACAAAACCTCCAGGCTACAATAGACGAGTTCGTTGAATACTCCAGGTATTGCTGTTGGTGTGGAATTCAATAGTCCATGAATTCTAGCTACTGTCTATTCGTGATTCAAGATTTCTAATGGTTCTCTCGAACTCAAATCAATTATATAACCATGCAAACCAATCAATGTGGACAATATGACTCATTGACTAACTGGTTTCAGCATAGGACTATCCACAGACGTGCAGAAATTCGAGTTACCACACTCCTTTAGTAGAAAACGAAGGAAGACTTATAGAATTGTTTCTCGTTTCATATACAGCAACACTCTATCATATGATATTATTATTCTTTACTTTAAATCCTACAGGAACATACGGCTTTAGCCACCGCTTTCGGTTCTCCGCCAACGTTTTCACCTGGCTCCACATCTGCCTACACGCTTTCATCTCCTCTGTTTTCCCAGAGTATGGCCAGCGAATCCACCACAATTTCTTCCTGCATATTTGTTGCACAGTAGGTTCCTACTGTGTTGGTTCACTGCCAGAGATCCCTTCCTTTGCAGAAGAAGCTGGCATCAAAGACACCACTTCAAATGGACACAGGGAAGACAAAGATGATGCGGATAACCAACCAACGACAACAGCCAGTACCAATCACTATTTTTTATTTTTATTTTTGATTACAGCTTGATTTCACACCGTATTTTTGGTACAGGTATGGAATTTTCAGCGTGGATATCGGTAGCCCAAATTTTGCAGGCCAACCATAGATATCAGGTGTGCGTCGGCGTGGGCTCGAACCCTGGACCATGTGCATGGTCGGCCAGAGTCCTAACCACTGTGCCACCGACGCACTAATTAATGGGAAAAACTTGAAAGAGGTCAACAAGCCCCTCCACTTACCTGCGAAGCATAGCTTCAAATGCAGGTGTCAAAGCTAGAATCGAGAAGGTGAGACAGACCTTCATTTATCTGTAATCAGTTTGGAAAGCTTCTTGACTCAGCATAAAGAACGAAATTTTGGGTTTACAACACCAATATCAAGCTAGTCAGTTCTAGTTTATGAGGAATCAAAAGCACGGCGTCGACATCAAACAAAAGGTCTTCCAGCAGGCTACGGCAGACTTTGATTGACAGCTATCATCGCTGGATCGATACGAAAGATGAGATTGTCAATCAGAAAGAATTAGCAAGAACAAACTCTGGGAACGAACCGATCAAAAACCTATTGTTCAACAAAAAAACAAAAGAAAATGGATCGAACACACGTTGAGGAGACACTGTGCGCCAGGCCACTGCTCAAGTGAAAACAGGATGGGAAATGAAAAGCAGGGCGTAAAACCAAGGGTGACAAGGAGATAATTGTGAGGGGGGTAAGAGATGAGAGTCTATGAACAATCAGGAGACCTCCCCAAAAGGACGATAGAAAATACGACAAACAAAGTGGAGGAGTGTTGTTGAAGCCCTATTTTACAATTGCGATCCACAAAGAACAATAATAATTAGAATAATAGCTCGCAAATAACAAACATACAATCGTCATCTACACCAAATTCAACAACAATAACACCAACAATGACTTACGCCTAATAAACCATGAATAACAGCTGATCGATTTGTTGACAACAGAGGCCAAGGGATTAGTCGACGTTCTGTAACTGGGACCTTGACAGCAAGAAGAAAAATACGCATAGAGAAAATTGATTAACACATAGAAATAGATCGGTCGAAATGCGAGTCATGGGTTTAAGCACTCCACACTCAATCAATGACTACCAGGCTCACAACACACTCCGCCGACTTCAGTGACAAGTCATTGGCGTAATAAATACCATCAGCCAACATAAAATAAGTGTGTGACTTACAAGCTGATACACGGAAAAATGGTTCCGCATAACTCAGTCCCTACGAAACTGCTGACTCAATATGAGGTGATTTGTAAAACCAACAAATCTTAATTTTACAATTTCACCTCCACCAAATCGTAGTGTGTGTGTGTGTGTATGTGAGGGTGTCAGTATTTGTCAGAACGAAACGCCAACAAGAAGTCGGTTACTCCGATAAGATTTGGCGCATATCAGATTAAAAGTCAAACTTGTTGGATGGTATCAGATGATACTACCATAATGACAGACGACAAGGGTCAGGCAACAGATAGTTTATTGAGGAAATCAAGAGATATTTATAGATTTTTATGTACATTATTATTCTTTATTATCAGAGAAACAGCGTCTCCTGACTGGTTGTTTACCTGCTGAAAGATATTCTGTCATCTCTTTGTGGCCATTTCTTTGAAGGTCAGCGAATCGTATTCGCGCACGCTAAGTCTGCTGTGGTTAGTTGGTGAGTTCCTCAAGGTTAGGCTTTGTTATTGTCTTTTCTCATGACCCCAATTCGGGGCGTAAACATTGACGTAAATTGTTTTCTACCTATTCTGGCTAGCAGACAGCTCTCATCACACTACTAATCAGTAGGTGGATTAGACTGAAACACAGATGGCGTGCAGTACTCGAACCAAGGAAACCATTGGTTAATAGTTGATGCGGTCGAAATTTAATCAAAATAAGTGAGGTAATAAAGAGTCAAGGGAAATAAAACACAATAAAAAAGTATCTTTCTATACCTTCCATTTTTCCAAACACAATTTATGCAATCCAATTTGTCTTTCTTCAATTAAATTGGGATCTTGTGAAAAGGCGATCAACTTTGATAAAGCAATACACTCGTGTTCAGCAATCCTGAACAATCCATGTAGAAAAGAAATAATAATAGAAAAATCGAATATCATTAGGGTTATTATTATTATCATCATTTTTATTGGGGCGAAAATGAATAAAAAAACACAAAAAAATCAAAAAGAAAACTTAAAAATCCCCATTACATTGAGTTATATAGAAGAAAAGACATTCAGCGTGGAGGGTTACTCTTCTCAGCGGTGACATCATTCTCAAGCTGCACAATCACATACACATATCTGGTACGTTATCTGAACTGTCTGTCTGTCTGTATCAGTAGAGTGCCTTAATCAGTGCAATGTATTTTCTCGGGATTCCTTTTACAGACAAGCATCTGCATAGGACCTCTCGGTCGATAGAATCGAATGCCGCCTTTAGGTCAACGAATATAGTGATTGTTGGGCGCCGGTGAGAATGCCTATGTTCTAGAATCTGTCGGAGGGTGAAGATATGATCAATGCACCCTCTTCCTGGTCTAAAGCCTGCCTGGCTCTCTCGTGTTTGTGCTCCCCGAGCACCACTTAGTCTACAAATGGCTTACATCAACCCAATGGGACTTCTTCCGCTTCCCAGACGCTGCTTAGAACCTCAGTTAATGCAGACAGTAAACTGTCTCCACCGAACTTAAATACCTCTGGAGTCATTCCATCAGGTCCCGCTGCTTTGCCTTGTTTCAGACTGGTGACAGCTTTAGAAACCGCAGTTAGGGAAGGAGGACCTATGTCTATATCCCATTCGGGTGTGTGCTGGATGGCAGGGAGGTTCAGTGTGGCTGTAGGCAAGTTAAATTGCCCCTCAAAGTGTTCTTTCCAGAGTTCAAGGCGTCTATCCTGAGAGCTAGTTAAGGAGCCATTTTTCTCAGAAATAGTCTCAATTATGATTTGCCTTCTCCCACCCGTTTCCCTGATCAGTCGAAAGAGTTGCCTAGTGTTGCCTATCGTCGATGCTTTTTCCATCCCTTTCGCCTTTGTTACCCACCACTGTTCACGGTCCTTGCGGAGACTTCTCGTAAGTTTCCTTTTGTGCAGCTTTCGCTCCTCGTTGAATTCGGAGCTCGCCGGAATAAGTCTTCAAGCATCTATCAATAAGTCTGCCTAGCATCCATTCTATCTGAACACAACAAAGGAATATTTCCAATGATGAGACAAAAAGAATAGTAATATCGAAGAACAATAAAGTTTCATTTGAAATTATAAGTCACAAGGAGTGAATGCCAGTGCACCATTGAGAACGACGATTTTTAACCATATATCACTGACTGTCTCCAGTATTCATTGATGTTTACCGCCCCGAAGAACCCAGCTAGTCAGGAAGCCTACACCTGCCTACGTGGCTTGCTTAAACTAACTGTTGTGGATTTCATCCACTGATCAAGCCCTGTTTTGGTTTGACCATCACCACTAGATCTTTTCCAACCTGACTCTATGTCAGCTAACATTGCCCGTTGTCGAGGAAGGCGATGGCTAGGTGTGCATACGTAACACATGTCCTAACCATCACAGTCGATGTAGCTTCACAACCTCGTCTTTTGATTTAACACTCGATGGCTAACCTCAATATTGCTCACCCTATTATACCACCCAGCACACACAGAAGATAGAACGCAGGCACCTATAAAAACCACTGGTGTCCGGCAGGGATGTCCACTTTCCCCATTTCTGTTTAACTTCATCATAGATATGCTGATGGAAGTATCCTTAAGTGAACGTAACGACTTAGGAATCGACTTGTTACCAGGGACATAGAATATGCAAATGACGTATTCCTGTTAGGGGAGGATGCTGACAAAATGCACAGTCTTCCGAACACCTTGAGCAGCAATCTTCGTATGTTCGGCATGCAATTCGCCCCCTGTAAAATGCAAGATGCACCGCACGGATCCAAAAAGCTCGAGCTGATTTTGCTGACTTACACCATCTCTGGTGTAGGCGTGACATCCGGCTGGCTATCAACCAAGGGACGTGTGTACTGCTCAGAAGTTCGCTCCGTCCTTCTCTATGGCTCTGAAACATGACCGATACGAGTTGAAGACATGAAAAGGTTGACTGCTTTCGATCATAGATGTCTACTATCTCTTTCTTACGTCAGGTGGTATAATAAGGTAACTAATGTTGACGTTAGGCGTAGAGTGTTGGTCAAAGAGGGACAATCAATCGACGAGGCTATAAAGTTACATAGACTGAGATGGCTAGGTCACGTGCTGCGCATACCTAACCATCGCCTCCCCAGATGGGCATTACTAGGTCGGAAAAGACTAAGTGGTGGCCAAACAAAAACATGGCCTCATCAATCCATGAAATCCTTGACAGTTAAGTTGAGTCAGGTAGGGAGATACAGACTTCCAGGTTGGGGCCCTCGGGACTCTAGGAATCAATGGCTGGAGACAATAGGTGACATGGCTCAAAATCGTTGTCAATGGCCAGCGCGGATGTATTCAGTCTCTGTAATCTTTCATATTCCTTTCTACCATTACCCATTCTGTTTCACTCTTATACTTGTCAAACTCTATTGATTCTCTTCACTCATCTTCTTGTCTACCTCTGTGTGCTATTTGGAACGTGGCAACTCGAACTGGTGCACTTCGGTGCGAAGTTCTATGTTGAATCCAGACAGACAGACCTATGATCAAAGACAGCTAGTCAGCCTTTTCATATCTTCTACTCTCAATGGCCAGGTCTCTCACAGCCATAAAGGACGACAAAAAGGAAAAACATTATCAGGGCGAGGCGCATGCATATGGCACACAGACTTTTTAAACCTTGCACACAACCATTAGGTTGCTCATCTCATCGCCACTGGCGGATCTGGCTAGTGACTTGCTACAGGATGGAGCTTCCTATAGTTCAAGTGAGAAGTGGTGACCAGTGACATCCTTCCAGTCAAGTGTGACAACGGATGTCCCACCGATGAAATTGGTTGATGGTAGGGCTACATCACGGACTGATAGAAGCTAGAATTCATGAGCTAGCCATTGAATCGGGTCTCAGTGGTTGAATGGTATACGAGCTAGCTTGCCTTGTAACCGGGATGGTCCTGGGTTCGAACTCGTTGTGGTGGGTGCGTACTACCGATGATTACCAAACCAGGATGAAACATCTGTCCAGTACTCCACTGCTGGTTTTCAATAGTTCCCTAACTGATATCAATCCGTGATCAACTTGTCGAAATAAATCTAATCCTTATAAACCAACTATTGAACAGTATAAAAAAATAAAATAAAATTAGATAAGCAAATTGAATGAGGTAATAATAACTGATGCGACTGAGTAGAATTCAACAAAACTTCAACGACAGTCAGTCAAGTTATCAACAGTGGTAATAAAGGGGGCAAATTTAATACGGGACTTCAGGGGAGAAGAAAAAATACAGTTAAAAAACAAAAACACGAAAAATTACGCATTCAGTGTTAAGATAGATCAGGTCCATTGTTTATTCACAATGACTAAACAAACTTCTTCTTTTGTATACAGAGTTCCGGATTTCACATGTGAAGTGCCATTGTTTCTGCGGTTTGAAGAAGTTTGATTTGACGTACTCTTTTAGCGAGATTCCCCACGTATTCTGTAGATAACTTTGAAGCTTGTTGGTGGGTGGGTTGACTTGGTGTCCAGATTCGATCAGGTGGTCTAGGATACAAATGAGTGGGGGAGTTTTTCTCTCCTTTATAAACTATAAGCATTTGGTTTCATTATGAGTAGAATTCATTTCGATAAAGTTTCACAGCGTGTTGTACAGTTAATATTTCCTGATGACCACGTTTAGAGCACAAATTATTACTACTGCTCATAATCATATCAAGGCACAACTCACACAACTTTCTGACTTCGTTTATATGAGCGTTGGTCAAGTCAGTAACAGTGGTAGTGAGGTGTAGAAATTATTATTTCGAGTGGGGGTTGAGAACAAGAAAGTTGAAAATGCAAAATATTACAATTGAGAAGACAAAATAATACTAATGAAGAGACAGAAAAAAAGATTAGGTAAAATTTACCTGTCAGGTAATAAGATAGATTACGTCAATTGCAGGTGTAGTGATCGAACGAACTTCTTCTGTATACGCTCATTTATGTTACGTCATCAAAGTTATTTGCTCAATTTCAGTTCTAATTTAAATGGCATTATTCTCTACCCCACTTCTATTTATTTTTACCTGTGAACGACTCCTCTATCGCAGGCCCAAGCCAAAAGACTACGCTATAGCATAAGGAGGGCTGACTATCCAGAGACAGCCAAAGGCATCCCCGTGTCATTCCAGAACATCTAAATCAGGGAAATTTACGCACTGGGGCCAGCCAATCCTGACTCATGGACCGAGATCCCGTCCTCCAAGCCACAGCCCACTGCAACGGCTGCCCTGCCGAGCCTCGCGAATGGGATTACCGGTCCTTCGTACCCACCTGTTAACCAGTTGTTATTGGCCCCGGTCCTCGTCAAGAATCCAACAGAACTTGGCATGGCCGATGTCTCGTACACCACATAAAGCCTAAGGATGACACCGCTGCTTCATCAAGACTGAGTAACCAGACACAGATGTTGTCTCATGCTGCGACAGGTCTTCTCTGAAGCTCGGTTTGCCTACCAATAAGCCCCACCCAGCGGTCGCAACAAGGAGGCGCCTGCCGCGTGTAACTACGTCTCTGTCCCGCCATTACCCATGCCCGGTTGAGTTTCTTCACGTTGACACTCAGGGCACTGGGCGGAACTAAGGGAACCAAATGTAGACTTAACGGGAGAAGCCAATATTGGAAAATACACCATGGATTACGGTCCTCGCACCGCATGTACGACCTCACCAGGTAAGCCCCCCAAATCGGCGACGGGCGACAATCACTTCCACCAATTCTCAAAAACACAAAAGACGCATGCTGGGGCAACCAACATACGCCCTTAGGAAATCCATTTTAGTTGGAGACTTAACAAAGAAGAATACCTCCCTTGCTAAGCCATCACATGGCAGAAGTGTCATCGCATACTGGTCCCGCCATTACCCATGCCCGGTTGAGTTTCTTCACGCTGACAGTCAAAGCACTGGGCGGAACGCGATGACGTTAATCCATTCATGCGCGTCATTAATTAGATCACAAGGCATTTGGCTACCTCAACCCCACTTCTACTTAGTTTCTACCTCTGTTGCTACCCTGACCTAAGTTGAAACATTTTAGTCAATTATATCACGTCATCTTACTTACGAACTCAATCTTACTTCAGTTGCTGTCCAATTAACCTTGTTTCTATATTAGATCATTCTTGTATTATCTGATCAATTATCTCAACTTGACAAACCTCATGTACACACACACACACACACACACAAATAACTATACATAAATGCAGTTGTACAGCTATGTGAATGAATTCGCCGAAAAGAGTCTCTTCGCTGAACGTCTTCCCTTTTTCATATGACTGAATGGGGATTTTCAAGCTATTTCGAGCACAATTTATCACTCTTACTCATAATCATATCAAGGTACTCACACAACTTTCTTGCTTAATTTATATACCTCAGTAAACATTGATTAGACATTTGAATAAAGTTAATATAAGATAAAGTAACTTTTAGAATGTTATAGTGTATGTGAATTGAATACATTTTAACATTATTTATTATCCTCCTCTGACTTGAATGGTGGTAATAATAACTTCCTTATCTCTCGTATATGCGTTGAGTTATTTCTATTGAATAAGTTGAATGTAGACTCGATGAACAAGGATTCAGTAATTAATCTCACTCTCTCCACCTACATAGATTATTTGTTAGAATCTTAACCCCTCCCACCACCCTATTGTGTGCCTGTGTGTTAGTGCATGCAGTGCAATTCCTGAACTTTTCTCTAAATTCCTTATCTTCGCAGGGTCAACCATTCTCAGCTTAGCTAAATTCTCATGTTCCGACAATCTGACTACCCCCGATCTACTAGTTTGACCTATGTAATTGACCTCACTCACAGTCATTGCAAGGTATTTTGAAAGCCGACAGGGTCGTTTAGCCTACATAGTTTGTCATACCTGAGTGAGTTTGTAGGTTTGAATGCCACTCTAATTCATGCTTTATTAAGAATCCTGCATAGGGCCTCAGATGTCCCCTCCTTAAATAGTATAACAGTAGATGACTTATATTCTCTCTTATTTATGTTATCATTATTAGTTTCATAATTAATTTTATTTTGCTTTCGGCTTTTCCTGCACAAGTTCTATTCTTAAATCAATGATTCATAAGCATTTGAAGCCCCAACACTATGCAGGCGGAATTGGACATTCTGAAAACAATCTTCCTTGAAAATGACCACCCAGAACATTTCATAACAAAATCCATGGAGCGCAAACCAGTAAAATCGCCCGCACTCTCATCTGCCAGAAAACTTCGCTACTGAAATCTATAAATCAATGGAGACTCATCGGCAGAAATACTGAGAAACTGTCTGTCCCTCTCATGATTTTATAAAGGAGAGGAAAGACCACAACCTCCACCCACAGTCAAACCCAAATTGGTTTGCAAATTGTGAATCTGATTTGTGCTATGACCACTTGGACCAAGCATCTAGCCGGAAATCAGGTGGTTTGAACTGATTCAGCACTCTGAGCTAAGTCAAACCAGGTATATCGCTAATCCGTTCGATCCCGAACAAGCGAAATGGCCGTTCGGTGTTTAGACCATTGATCGATCAGGCTAGCAAACACTGTTTGGTTGATATGAATGGCATGCAACTACTATTCAACTCAATCAACTACAAATCTTATTTTCTACATCACCGATGATGATTCCTCGACTGAAAGATGCAGTAGCTAGACTAGCTAGCCACTTCCACATGTATCTACCAATTCAACTGCGCTTGTAGAGAGAGTTATTTCGACCGTGGCTTTAGGAACTTTATTTTTCGTGTTCACTAGAGAACATCTCCCAGTATGGCTAAGTAAAGTTAGATATTAGACCATCTGGTACAAGCCGGCCACAAAGCCAGCCAACACTGAAGAATCCTTCTCTATCATCTATCGGGTGGCAAATAAATTACCAAAAACATCGAAGTACTGCATGCTACAAACAGGAGAGGCCATCGCGATTCGCGTGAAACAACCAGTGCTTTGTGTGCAGAAGAAGCAAGTCAAGCCAGCCACTACTACTACCCTGGCCGGTCTTCGGTAGAGACTAGAAATTCATGAATTTGTATTATTATCTTTCCTAATTGCTCTGATATTCAGTGTACCGTTATGTTGATGCTATTAAAGTGTAATCCATTGATATTATTGATTCGGTGTTATTTAAACAGCAACATTAATGCTGTTCATAACACTAATTCATTCATTCACTACTATAATGTATAACTGTAGGTAAACAGGGGAAATCAATCGACGAAGTCGTGAAGCTACAAAGACTGAGATGGTTAGGACATGTGTTACGTATGCCAAGCCATCGCCTCCCTCGACGAGCAATGTTAGCGGATATAGGGTCAGGCTGGAAAAAAGCTAGCGGCGGTCAAACAAAAACTTGGCATCAGTCAATGAAATCCACAACAGTTGGTCTAAGCCATGTAGGAAGATGTAGACTTCCAGGCTGGGGTCCTCGGGACGGTAAAAATCTATGGTTGGAAACAATTGGTGACATGGCTCAAAATCGTTCTCAGTGGCGCAGATGCATCCACTCCCTGTGACTTATGATCTTCAATGAAACTGTTTTGTTCTTCGTTATTACTCCTCCTTTGTCTCACACCTCTGCTCACTGTTTCTATTATGCTTTTCTTGTACTTTCTTCTCTTGCTTCGCGTGCTACACGGAATGTGGCGACTTGAACTTCCGCACATTTGTGCAAAGTTCTATGTCGAAAACAGACAGACAGACAGTAGAGCCTGATGAAGAAGAAATTATGGGAAAGAGTATTCTTTGTTCAGTGACCATACTTTTGAAACAGAAATATATATATATATATATATATATATATATTTAACGATGAAACTTACCCTTCATTCATAGTATTCATAAATTCTAAAAACTTTTCATCTGATTCAATTTTCTCACTATGACATAGTTTTAATACATCAATTTCAGAATCTATTGAAGCACCATTCATCTTATTATTATTACTATTATTGTTCAATGCTTCATTGACTTGTAAAAAGTGTTCAATAACTAAACCAAGTGGACCGGATTTTTCAATATCAGTTAATACACCAAATTTTCTATTCAACTCTTGATCATCATGATTACAGGTATTCGTCGTCTTTGTTGCTGTTGTCGTTGTATGTGGCGGTTGCTGTTGATGTTGATGACCTGGAAATCGACGCGGTTTCTGACGAAAATTTGACTTTTGATCAAAATTATCATTAGTTGAATTATTCATTGTAGACAATTTAGCCGGTGGTGGTATACAACCAGCCATTGTAGACAGTGGTGACCGTAAACTTTTGCACACTAGATATCTAAATATATATATATAAGAAAATATTGAAATGAGCCACAACTATTGCTTGTGAGGACTAGTGAAAACTAACTGGCTGTCTAAGACCTCAACAGATGGTGAAGAGGTGGTCGAACACATAACTCAACGGTTGGAAGTTAGATGAATAGATAAATGAGCCATAGCTCCAACAAAATAATTGAACACGCAAGGTAGGAAATACTACTAACTAGACTTTATGAGTAGTTGAAAACGAATCACAAAAACAATTATAGTGCTTACTGGACAAACTGCTTGCTCATTTGAGAATTACCACATCATCGTAAACAATTTTCTGTAGGTAACTATTAGTATAAGCTATCATTTCTTCCTCACATGATCTCCTGCGTGTCACCCTCCGACCTATGGCCAACTGATTGTTTTTCCATTTAGGTTAAACTTGTGAGCCTGCCTTACCTGTGATGTTATTCAATAATTCCCCAAGTGTACGTCTCTGTTTCTATTCCTTTGTGTTTCTAGAGGAACATAGGGCTTTAAGCTAGAACTTTGTAGTTTCATTAGCAATAGAACTTATTTTTGCAGCATGGGGTTGCTAGTCAGCCTTATGCCAAATCTTCCCTCTTTACCGGGCCTATTACGGGATTAGCCAAGTAAAGGAGTGTGTCGGCCAGGGATCGAACCCCACACCATCTGAGAACCTGTCAATCACTCTACCGCCAAGCCACCAGAATCACGCACTGTGTCTAATCCATCTATATTTCTTCTCCATATTTGGTGAGCGATAGATTCTTCGATCGTCCTGTGAATAAGTGTAAAACTTGGGCACTGTGGTAGTGAGTAATTCCATATTACTTTGTTTATTAGATGTATCACACAGTGAAACAGTATTATTTACTGGATAAAAAGGTTTCAAACACAATTCATTATTGTTCATAATCATATCAATTATAATCACAGGTCTTCAGAACTTTAGTTTTGTAGTCTTCTTCCCGACCGAAAGCTGCTACCTTGACGTGGTGGTCGGGCTTGAACACCGCAATGATCTATTCAAGCTATACTGGCTGAGACTTATGTCTCTTGAGGTTCTACCATGCCAGGAAGGTTGTTTGGATAGCGGTTAAACAAAAAGCAGCTACCCAATCCAACATCATGTCCAATACAAAATTACAAAATTTCATGCCGGATCGGCCGTGGCCCGGATTAACAACGACCGCGCTTCCTGCTGCCGTGTCACAGGGCGGGAGTGATAAATCTGCTACTGAGACACACCAAACAAAAAGAACAAACAAAAACAGGCCGCGTGTGACCGGCCTCAAGCAGTTGTCCCCTGGGCTCTGCGGTCACGCAACCAACTTCCACGGTGTGGGCAGCCGGGAAGTAACAATCGCCCTCACAATCCGAAATGCACACGAAACCTCTCTATTACTCACTCATCTTTGTCTTCATCTTCATCTCTATCATCTTGCCTTCCTTCCACTGATGCAACTCCTCGACTTGATAGCTCTCCACTTCCTCTCCACTCTGCGTCCACTAAAAACGATGGAAGCCAAAAAACCACCACCGACAGCCTCTTAAAGCCGCGCCACCAATTTCATATAGGAGCTCTTAATGTTAGGACACTTTGCCAAATAGGACAACAAGCATCACTAGCCAAGACCCTGGCATCACGAGCCATTGATGTATGCTGTGTTTCAGAAACACGCATACAAGACCCAAGTGTGGTTATTCACCTAACCCCACCTGGCCAACAGGTTGAATCTGCAAAATTCACCTTGAGGGTGTCAGGAGATGCCACAGCTAGTTCACGAGGATTAGCTGGCGTAGGGATAGCTTTGAGTACTAGGGCAGAAAAGACATTGCTTGACTGGATCCCGGTAGATAGCCGAATGTGTGCTGTCCGCCTGAACGGATCAGTAAGAAGGAGGAAGGACTGCACTACTCGCCGATGCCTTTTCGTAATCTCCGCCTACGCCCCCACTGACTGCAGTTCAGATGAAACGAAGGATGAGTTCTACCAAAAGCTGTCTAGTTTGGTGGAAAGGCTAAACGCTCAGACATAGTCGTTCTAGCTGGTGACTTTAACGCTCAAGTAGGGAAATTGTGTCAATCTGAGAAGGATGTCGGTGGCACCTATGGAGTTCCGTGCCAGCGAACCGACAACGGTGACCGTCTCCTACAGTTCTGCTCTGATAATCATTTGTTTCTTGTAAGCACTAACTTTAAACACAAGGAGAGACACTGTTTGACTTGGAGACCCCCTTCATCAAACCAACGCTGGACACAAATAGACCACATAGCAATAAGCTATCGTTGGCGTGGGTCGGTAGGAGATTGTCGCTCCTTCTGGAACACGTGCGTAGATACCGACCATGCACTGGTCCGCGCTCGGGTGTGCTTACGACTGAACGGACGTAGGAAACAGCTGGCGGTAAAACCATCACGTCCCCAGCTCGATCAGGAAACTAAATCCGTATTTCAGGAAGAACTAGCTAAACACATATCTGTGTTCGACAGCTGTGCTCACCCTGAAGAAGCTTGGAAAAATATCCAGGCAGCCATAGATACAGCTGTAAAAGCTGTGAATAAGGTAAACCCAAAGGTGAGTAAAAACCACTGGATCTCCACCGCCTCATCCGAACTGATAGATGCTAGAAGACTTATTCCGGCGAGCTCCGAATTCAATGAGGAGCGAAAGCTGCACAAGAGGAAACTTACGAAAAGTCTCCGCAAGGACCGTGAACAGTGGTGGGCGACAAAAGCCAAAGAGATGGAGAAAGCTTTGAGGATAGGCAACACCAGGCAACTCTTTGGACTCATCAGGGAAACGGGTGGGAGAAGACAAATCATTAGTGAGACAATCTCGGAAAAAAATGGCACTATAATTAGCTCCAGGATAGACGACTGGATCGTTGGAAAGAGCATTATGAGGAGCAGTTTAATTTGCCCACAGCCACGCTCAACCTTCCGAGCATCCAACACCTCCCTGAATGGGATATAAACACAGGTCCTCCGTCACTAACTGAGGTTACTAAAGCTGTCACCAATCTGAAACTAGGCAAAGCAGCGGGACCTGATGGAATGACGCCAGAGGTATTTAAGTACGGTGGAGACAGCTTACTGTCCGGATTAACTGAGGTACTAGGCAGCGTCTGGGAATCAGAAGAAGTCCCATCGGGTTGGTGTAAGTCACTGATTATCCCCATATACAAGAAGGGAGACAAGTCTTCCTGTGATAATCACAGAGGGATTAGCTTGACTAATATAGTATCTAAAGTCTTAGGCTCAATAATCATGCGTAGACTGAGTGGTGCTCGGGAAGCACAAACACGAGAGAGCCAGGCAGGCTTTAGACCAGGAAGAGGGTGTATTGATCATATCTTCACCCTCCGACAGATTCTAGAACATAGGCATTCCTACCGGCGTCCAACAGTCATTATATTTCTTGACCTAAAGGCAGCATTCGACTCTGTCGATCGGGAAGTTCTCTGGAGATGCTTGGCTGTAAAGGGAATTCCAAGAAAATATATTGCACTGATTAAGGCACTCTATTCGTACTCATACAGCCAGGTGAGGGCTTACGGCGAGCTGTCATCTGAACTGATGACGACCAGTGGTGTCCGTCAAGGATGCCCATTATCTCCTTTTCTATTCAACTTCATCATAGATGTGTTAATGGACTTAACCCTAGGTGACTTCAGCGACTCAGGGATTGACTTGCTACCGGGGAATAATCTCGTTGACTTGGAATATGCAGACGATATAGTCCTTCTAGGCGAAGACGCTGACGAAATGCAGAGTCTTCTAAACACCTTGAGCCGCAATCTACGAATGTTTGGCATGCGATTCGCTCCCGCCAAATGCAAGATGATGTTACAGGACTGGACTACATCGACGCCTAGTTTAAAAATAGGAAGTGAAGTGGTAGAGCACGTTGACCGCTTCACTTATTTGGGAAGTACCATCAGCCCCAACGGGCTGATCTCTGACGAAATCTCAGCACGAATACAAGGGGCTCGTTTCGCATTTGTTAGTTTACGCCGACTCTGGCGTAGACGAGATGTTCGACTATCGACCAAAGGGCGGGTGTACTGCTCATCAGTCCGCTCCGTCCTCCTTTATGGTTGTGAGACCTGGCCACTGAGAGTGGAAGACATGAAAAGACTAGCTGTCTTTGATCATAGGTGCCTGCGTTCTATTTCCCGTGTAAAGTGGCATAATAAGGTGAGCAACATGGAGGTTAGGCGTAGAGTTCTAGGTAAACAGGGGAAATCAATCGACGAAGTCGTGAAGCTACAAAGACTGAGATGGTTAGGACATGTGTTACGTATGCCAAGCCATCGCCTCCCTCGACGAGCAATGTTAGCGGATATAGGGTCAGGCTGGAAAAAAGCTAGCGGCGGTCAAACAAAAACTTGGCATCAGTCAATGAAATCCACAACAGTTGGTCTAAGCCACGTAGGAAGGTGTAGACTTCCAGGCTGGGGTCCTCGGGACGGTAAAAATCTATGGTTGGAAACAATTGGTGACATGGCTCAAAATCGTTCTCAGTGGCGCAGATGCATCCACTCCCTGTGACTTATGATCTTCAATGAAACTGTTTTGTATTTCTTTATTACTCCTTTGTCTCACACCTCTGCTCACTGTTTCTATTATGCTTTTCTTGTACTTTCTTCTCTTGCTTCGCGTGCTACACGGAATGTGGCGACTTGAACTTCCGCACATTTGTGCAAAGTTCTATGTCGAAAACAGACAGACAGACAGACAGTCTTCTTTGTTCTCTCCTATTTGTCGTCGTTGGGATAGTAGAATTTTCCAGATATCCGACTGGACAAGTGTTGAATCATTCCTATTACACGTATTCTTTCTCAGTCGATTCGATGAACAAACCTTCTGCTATCAGTCTGTCCTTCCACCCTGATGTTACATTACAATTTAAAACTATCATCTTATTCTATCCAGCCTATTGTATGGTTGTGTGTAACTGCACGTAGTATTATGGCTGAACTATTCTCTAAATTTCTTATCTTATTATTGGGGTCAACTAATCTAGATTTTGTTAGGTTTTTATGCTCGGTTAGTCTGACTCACTGCACCTGTTCTACTGGTTTGACCTATATATTTGACCTGACAATCATTCCATCAGGGTATTAGATAAAATAAATTGTTTTGTTTTAAAGGCTCTACAGGATTGATCATTTAACCGACAAAGCTTGTTTCTAATTGAGTTTGTCGGTTTGAATGCCAATCACTCTTATTCCTGCCTTGTTAAAAATTCTGCGTAAGGTTTCCGAGGTTCCTTCTTAGTATGAAATTACAACTGATGATTTAAATTCCTTATTGTTGGTGTTGTCATTATCTTGAACATGTTTGACATGCTTGTCGTCACTATTATTATTGTTATCATCACTATCACTACTATCATTATTTATTTTATTTTTACATTTCCCTATATACTTTCTAACGAATTTACCAGGGTAGTTATTAAGTTTCAAAGCTTCTTTTATATACCTGACTTACTGTCTTAGATTTTCCTTGGTACTATCTAGTTTTTGTGCTCTGTCACTTAAACATTTCACCAATCCTACTTTTACTGACAAAGGATGGAGTGATCAGAAGTTCAAATATTTGTTTGAAAGTGTGAGTTTCTTGTAAATATTAGTTTTTAACTTCCCATCCTCTTTCCTTTTTACGCTACAAGTCAGGCATTGCTAAACTTCTTGCATTCTGTCCCTAAGTGGGACGTCTCTTCTAAGTTCGAGTTCTTGGTCAGAAATGAGTTCATTTCCCACTGCCTCCGTAGCCATATTTATTGGTATACGTGTATATATAAACTGGCAGTGTCAAAACTAACCATTTTTTCTTCATTATCTAATTTTAAATTGTCTAATCTACGTTTCAGTTCATAAGAATTTGTTAGTCTAGATTATGAGTGGCCTTTAAGGGAATTTAAAACCATGGCTAAATATTTAGATAGTTCATAAGTAGGTGATCGTCCTTTGCTAATTTCGGCTCTTGTTCCTTGTACTGCAGGCAGTAAATCTTCACAGTGATAAAGGCCTATCTTGATATAACGATCCTGAATACCTTTTGACATCCTTATGTTTACTGACTGTCGTTGAAAAGATGCTTCCTAGATAGGTGAAAGAAGCGACCACCTTTAAATTTCATCCGCCGATAGAGATCGGTGTCTGTTGTTGTTGTTGTTGTTATTATTGATTAGGCATCTTCACCCTCACTCTTCACTATGTCCACTTAAAATCTCTCCCGTCATCTCTGTCTCTCCTGAGAACTTGTTGGTTTTCGCTTGCAGACCTTCAAATTTATGTAAAATTATCTATAAATTATACACAAAGTTCAGATCTTCTAGCATCTTCTTATCAGTCCAGTGTCTTCCTGTTTTCTCCCCCAAAACGCACAGACTTCTTCATAATCTAGTCCATCACAATTAAGATTATTATTAAAATTAATGGTAGGGGCAGTCAGTCTTCTCTTACACTCCTGTTTTCACTTCAAAAGTGTCGCTGAGTTATGAATGACGATATCTGGACAGATCACAATACGACATACCTAGATTCCAGGTGTTGTCAGCTTATTCAACTCTTTAAACTCGAGTCAACCACATTACAATGTCAATCAACATGGTCGGATACAAGAGAAATGGTCGTCTAGTGTTAAGACAACTTGAATATGCCTACAAGTAGGCTGACGTCAGTGGTTTTGCAGCTACTTACATTATTTAGTAGTATATATCAACTCGCTAAAATAATTAGTATTTTTTTTGATGTTATACTCACAATATTAAGCATCTACTTGCTGATTAATGAATCGTGAAATTGAATGTCAATCCACTTTGCAAAAGTTTTGAAAGCCATGCAGGAAAGCCTTTAATTGCTTTCCAGGCTTGGTCCTTTGTTGCTGTTGCTTTTGCGTTTAATCTCATACTACTTATCACTATTAAGTAGTATGAGTTCTATTTGTCACTTCTTAAACGCGACTGTGTTTGGATAATGAATTAATACCCTATTTGATGAATGGTAAGTATTTTCGTATACTCAAACATTATCTGCCTTATTTATATACCCTTAATTGTTGAACATTGTTTGCTCGTATTCCTTTATTCTGTGTCCAGCATTCGCGTGCTGTTTAAATCTACACGTGGACAGTCTTTCACATAGCTCTGCTGTTTCTAATTATTGACGCCCATTGCCAGTGCCTTTGACGGCATTCGGCCATAAACATCTCATAACTGAGGTTTTTATATGGTATTTCACATACAAATTCTGTGTGATTGGATTTTATGCGTCACTCTAAACGTCGTTCAACTAGTCGTTTGGATAATCGTCCTGGAGTTCTTAGAAGAAATTCACAACAACAGTGATATAGAATATAATCGGTGGATGGTTACTAGCAGTGGAATCCAGGACAATGTGCACTTCGTCCTATTTGGGGCTCGTCATCAGCTGGATGCACCTGAATTCCCCAGTGAGTGGTGATGTTCCCACAGAGGCTCGAACCCAGTGACCACTATTTTAAAAGCCAAGGAGCTATCCACCAAGCCGCCTGGGCCACGATAGCTAATTCCTTAATTCAATTAAATAATTATTATAACCCGTTGCACAAGAGATGGCTGCCGTGGCCTGGTGGATGACCCTTTGGCTTTTGAAACTGTGGGCACTGGGTTCCAGACTCGTTGGGAACATCATCACTCACCGCGGAATGCAGGTACATTCAGCTGACCACGAGTCCCAAATAGGACGAAGTGCACATTGTGCTGGATTCCACTGCTAGTCACAATCCACCAATCAACTTCTCATTACATGCCCCGACATCTTCGAAGCATTTGCACAAGAAGCGGAAATGCCAACCTGAGACCGAACACTTCGGTCCGATCAATCGACAGGAAAATCTAAAATTCAATTAGACAGTAATATAGACTGTCAGATGAATGACGTTTTATGGTCAAGTGTTTATCGACTCTGTCAGCTAAGTCCTACTCACTGAACTCATATGCTGCAGAAGATGCTCTTCTAACAATCGAAAGGACAATCCTTTAAATGTTACGGAACTCATCAAAGACCTGATGAACATGTCAAATCCACCGAGAGAAGTTGAAAAACTCTGAATCTTTAACAGCGACGCATAAGGGCCCCAGAATCTGTAAGAAATGAATGGTGTATAAACGTATGTTGATTACTGGAAACTATGCGAGGGACAGCCCTTCACACTGTGCTCTCTGTTATCTAGTGGATTAGACTACACTTTACAGGTTGGATGCAGAACTCTTCAACCTACTAGAACAAGCTGGATTCAGGAAAGGCAAATCATGTACTGATCAAACTGTAACTCTATGCATCATCACCACAGAACAAAGCATAGAATGGCAGTCAACTCTCACTCCACCTCAACTTCATCGACTCCGAAAAGGCCTTCGACAGACAGTGTTGACTGAGAAGTAATTTGGAAACCACTTCAACACTACGGAGCACCTCCAGTCTTTATCAACCTCATTCAACAGCTGGCTAGTAGGACAGTGCTGCATGTCAGGTGATCCATAACGGTAAACTCAGCGAGGTGTTCGAAGTATATACAGGAGTCAGACAAGGCAGCCTGCCTATTATCACCGATGATATTCCTAGTTGTGGTGGACTTGATTATGCGGAAGACTGTGCATGGAAAGAGAGAAGATAGCAATATGCTGAACCATCGATAAGAAGACTCTGACAGATCTGAATTTCTCGGATGATTTACGTTTAGCGTCGCACAAACTCAAAGACTTGCAAACGAAAACCAACAAACTGACAGAAGAGGCGAGCAGAGAAGACAGGATAAATTTCAGGTGAGCATAAAGAACAGGGAGGGGTAGTACAGATAACCAAACAACAGAAAAACAACAACCAGCACCAATCAATATCAACGGAAGAAACCTGAAAGAGGTCACTTCATTCACTCATCTGGACAGTATCGTCTCAACTGCAGGCAATAGCACTGATGAGCATGTTGAAGCCGCCAGCCAGGATCGGAATTGCAAGGCGTACGTTCATTACCCTGAAATCAGTTAAGAACTTTTCAGAACTCTGCAGCATAAAGAACAAGATTAGGATTTTGCAGCAAGCGTCACGAAGAACACTTTCAACAGGCTGTTTAACACTCTGGGAACAAACTAACCAAGAACCTATTGCTCAATAAATATATGCCGAAGAAATTGAATATAGATCGGACACACGCTGAGGAGACCATCGAATGATATCACGAATCAGGCACAGTCTCGAGTGGAACCCGAATGGGAAACGACAACTTGGTCGTGTGTCCAAGAGTGGCATGAAGAAAATCACGTGAGGAGGATATGAGGGACTATGGGCAATCGTACGGCCAGCCAAAGAGATACACAGAGAACAGGACAATTTGTTTATCCTGTTTAAGCCTTATGTTCCAATAGGAACCTAAGGGGATAATAATAATAATAATAACAACAATCAATGGCTTGGACCGAAACCCTTTAAGGCAACTATAAGCCTCAGGCCTAGTCCCTTGACCAAATGAAAGTATGTCATATCTCACATCTTTTACTGGGGTTATATAACGTACCAAGTTTTTTTTAGTTCAAGTAACTATAAACTAAATATTAAGATAAGTTAAAAAATCGAATTGATTTTCTCCACTTCAGACTAATTGAACTTACCTTTCAGAATTAGCTGGTCTACTTGTAACAGGTTTTATAATAGAAACCTGTTCAAATAAATGTCCCATTATATAGATAAGACCAGCAGTGAATTCAGTGAATGTATCAAATAGTTTTGTTAGAAAATGTCCACCTAGAGATAAAAGAAACACGGAATACAGGAGAGAGAAACTCGACACTGTTCGCCCTATCATCATAAATGATAATCAATTTATTATAATTATTCTATTCACTTGTATCAGCTAGGTATCAGGAACATTGGGACAATACTATACTATACCTTTCACAAAACTAATCATTACACAAAGAGAAATAACCGTACATTGAAAGAGATTGGCTGGACTCAAAGAGAGGTAACTGAGACACACAGCTTTCATTGATTCTACTAGCAATTTGTTCAGGAGACAAGCAATAAAGTTACTGTCTCAATTGATGTAAGGTAAGAAACTATGACTACCGGTGAACAATAAAACCTGGGAGCATCGATGACAGTGAAATATGAAGACATTGCGTACGCAACACAGAAAAAAACAGTCAAGAATGTAAATTACAAACACAGAAGGTGGGTACTGTGACATTCGAACGGAGAGGAAAGATGACATCAGTTTTGCCAACTAAAGAATTTCGTTCCCAAATATGTCGTTTGTGGAAGTAAATACATAGGTCAAAAGTATAAAATGGCGATTGTCGTCTACTGGCATGATGAAGCACTTTCCAAAATGTTTGAAAACAGCTGAATGCAAAGTGTCAAAAACTTCAATAACAAAACATCTTGTGGACTATGGATAATATGATATCGACGCTGTCAAATCACTTACTATTGTCAGCAGACAAAGAAACAGGAAGGTGCTTGCAGTCGCCGAGGCTTGTGCAATTCGAGTTTATAAACCAGGTCTCTGTGTACAAATGGAGATGGTCATCACTGTGAATCTACCATGGTAATACGTTTTACTTATTATTCTACCTCTTATTATTATTATTATTGATTCATGTAAAACTATCTTTTATCAGTAGGACTATCTTAACTCACTTCGACCTAAGATATACAGCAGATCTCACTTTAATATCTTCTCATATCTGTCCAGGAAAACACAGCAAAGGTGTTACTCACAGGAAAATGTCCTCAAACTAAGATGTATGCTAAGTGACACAAACTGGGAACTTTCCAACGAACACACACTGGATGATACTATTTTCAATTTGACTAACTATCTTAAATTCTGCCTTGATATATGCTGTCTAAAACAGATACTTTTCAAAAGAATGGACCGTTTCTCTTCCCCTCATCTCAAAAGCTTCGAAGAGAAAAAGAGAAGCTGTACAAGACAAAGAATAAGTCTGGTCTTAGGAAGATAAACATCCAAATTAAATCTGAAATCAACAAACTAAACAATATTTATAATCAAACAATACTGTCTTGTAAAACTTCAGAAAACATGTGGAAGCTTTTTAGAGAAATTACAGGTTGTGGTAAGCATAGTAATTGTGCCTCTTCTATTGATGTTAACACTCTCAATAGATCTTTTATCCGCATTGCCATAGTACCTTCCGATCCACGGAGTCGAAGGCCGCCTTCAAGTCAAGAATTATGGCAATTGTTGACGCCGAAAAGTGTGTCCATGTCCATCTGTCGGAGAGTGAAGATATGATCTATGCACCCTCTACCTGGTCTAAAGCCTGCTTGATTTTCCCTCGTCTGTTCCTCCCGAGTTCTGTTTAGTCTGTGCATGATTACTGAGCCTAGGATTTTAGAGACTATGTTCGTTAGGCTGATCCCCCTATGATTATCACACGAGGACTTGTTTCTCTTCTTGAATATCGGTATAATAAGTGACTTACCCCAGTCTGATGGAACCGTCTCTGATTCCCAGACATTGCCTGGTACCTTAGTTAATCTACAAACTAGTATGTCACCCCCATTTTTAAACACCTCCGGAATAATTCCGTCGGGTCCTGCCGCTTTGCCTCGTTTCAAATTACTGATAGCTTTTGTGACCTCACTTACAGACGGCGGACCAGTGTCTATATCCCATTCGGGTTTGTGCTGGATGGCAGGGAGGTTCAGTGTGGCTGTAGGTAAGTTAAATTGTCCCTCAAAGTGTTCTTTCCAGGGTTCAAGGCGTCTATCCTGAGAGCTAATTAAGGAGCCATTTTTCTCAGAAATAGTCTCACTTATTATTTGCCCTGATGAGTCTAAAGAGTTGCCTAGTGTTGCCTATCGCCGATGCTTTTTCCATCCCTTTCGCCTTTGTTACCCACCACTGTTCACGGTCCTTGCGGTGACTTTTCGTAAGTTTCCTTTTGTCCAGCTTTCGCTCCTCATTGAATTCGGAGCTCGCTGGAATAAGTCTCCTAGCATATATCAGTTCGGACGAAGCAGTCGAAATCCAATGGTTTTTACTCACCTTTGGATTTACCAGACAGACAGAGACAAACTAATATTACGCCGGCGACTCATGGAGTGTAGAGTTCACAGTTTTTAAAAATACACAGATTACAAAAAGTCAAACATACCTGGTCTTAAATTAATTAGTGCACATAAACACTGGCATAAATAAATCTGTTTTGATAAAACTTCTTGTAAATTATAGTGACTGGATACATCAAAACCCTAAAGAGTAAAAACAAGAAAGAAACACTGACCAATAAGAATAGGAATAGTCAAAGCAATAGTAATAATAGTAACAACATTTTGATTGGGCACCTAGCGTCACGAGCCTAGTTCTTTATATGGTGCAGACGGAATTCTGTCACAGTTAAATCCACAGTCTGACCACCATGCTCTAGGTGGTCAGCCATCAAAGGGTATACTATGGATTGTGGCTGTCGTTGTTAGATGGCTGGAGGAAATTGGCAGGAAACCCGCCTTGAACTATTTTTCATGCTTCCTGACACTCACCGGTCAGCAGCAGTCTTAAAGGAATTCATGTCCCCCTTCTGAGATTCCAATCCATATCATCCAGTGATGCAGTCGGAGATGCTACCACTGAGCTATCCGGACTGACGCGACTGACCATTTTTTTTTATTTTTTTGATTTACAGCTTGATTCCACACAGTATTTTTGGTATAAGTATGTTATTTTCAGCATGGATATCGGTAGCCCAAATTTTGCAGGCCGACCATAGATATCAGGTGTGCGCCGGCGTGGGCTCGAACCCCGGACCATGTTCATGGTCGGCGAGAGTCCTAACCACTGTGCCACCGACCATCTGAAGGACTGTACTAGGTACTTCGATTGAACACAAGGTAGTATCATGCGCTTAATCCTTTATCAGACGCAGAAAGAATTCTGTCATAGTCAAGTTTTCAATATAGTCATCATGCTAGGTGACTCTCCACCAGTCGCGATGCACTCTGAATTATTGATATTAGATTGTTGGAAACCATCAGCGGGAGATGAATCGCGTCTCTGACTACAGCACCAGGTGACACAGGTTTCAATCTCACAAGAAAAATGAGTTGCTACAAGATTGAGGATATATACTGCTGACTGGTGACTGCCGACAAGCATGAAATCTAGGTCAAGCCAGGCTTCCTGCCGATGGCCTCTAACCATCTAACCATAACAATAATAATAAAATTTACATTCAAGGTTTTAGTTAAGTTCTGATTAACTTCAATGTAGATCTCATTAAGAAACGACATTAATTAAAGAGCTGTTGAAAACCAAGGAGTACTGAATAGTGGTATCGTCCTAGTTCTGGACTCTTCAGCAATGTATATCTATTAAACCAATAAGGTGATGAAACCATCGATGACCCTGAGATTAAGAGGACATAATATGAGTTCGGCTTCAGTGATCCGTAATACCTAAACTCTTTCACAATTCGTGACATAGAGCCACTGCCAACCAGTGTCATCATTGAGTATTCGCCTCACAGTTGATATGGTGGACTTACATCCCCACTCCCACCCACCAACCACAATCCCTCATTAGATTCTCACGATATCTATCAAGGAGCTACTAACGAGCTGGAAACTGACACTTAGATATGATATATATTTCTCTCACTCCAAGTATGACCTTGAAATCCTATTGGTTGTTGACTTATTTGACTTGTCAACGTAATTAGCGTCTCTCAAGGTCATTGAACGCATATGTATAAAAGTAGGCGCTGTCAATCATTTTTTCACTGTTAACATGAGACAGTAAAAGCTCTCTACGTCAACAGCCAATCTTCTCTTCTTGTGTTGCGTTCTCAGTGATATCTTATTGTATCGTGTTGTAACAACAGAAGACAAGAGCCAGGAAACAGATCCTTTATTAAGGAAATCTACACATATTTATAGATTTTCATGAACATATTATAGATTATTGTTAGCAGAAAAACACAGTCCTCTGATTGGTTGTTTCTCACAGAAAGCTAACCTTGCATCTCTTCAGATCATCTATATGTTAATCGTATCCGCCTACGCAAAGCCTTTGTTCTCATTTTTCTCAAGACCAATATTGGAGACATAAACATTGACTTATAATACTGTCCACCAATTTTGGCTAACAGCCAGTCATTGTCGTTGTCGCTGCTAATAGTGGTTAGAACGACAGACTCGAGAATCGACTGGTTAGGAATTTTGTTAACACAACTACCATATCAAGATTTAAGGTATAAAAACACTTGTTGAATGAGAGTAGATGATACACTCACTGCCACCGTTGAAATCATAGGAGGCAGGATTCGAACCCAGGATTAAATTGCTTGAACATGTCAACTGTTTAAAAGCCAATAACAAGTCGCTTTTTAAAATGTAACCAAATAAGCCGAATCAAAACGAATAATAAAACAGGGAAACAATACACCAAGGAAATGCAAAATTGTCAAGAAGAACCAAATAGAATAACAATAATAATAATAATAATAAAGCTAACCCCATCAGCCATTACAACATGTACACCAGCACCGTTTGTACTACGACCAATAAATGAAGCAAATGATGCCAGATTCACCCATTTTGTAATATCACCATCACGTGTTACTCCATAATGTGGCATAAAAGCCTCTTGAGGACCAGCATAAAAGTCATTCAGACGAAAATCACATGAACCAGTCAAGGTTAAACCAAATCCTTTCGCTGAAAACAATGGATGTTGGTGTTGCTTTTTGATGGGTTTTTCACACATCTTATGATTCCCTAACACACTGTCGTCACCACCACCACCACCAGCACCCACATCTTCGTAATCACTGTCATCATCTATTGTGCCTGCCATTGTACCTGCTGATGATACATTATGTTCGGCATTGACATTAACATTATCAATCTCAAATCGATTATCATAAGAATCATCGTCACTGTGATTATTTTCATTATTACATTTGTCAGTAGTGTTATTGACAGCTGGATGATGGTGAGTAGACTTTTTCTGCGAGTGAGGAATCGAAGGATAAGGGGAATTACATCGACGCCATAAAATATACTCTGAGAAACCACCAGGTCCAGCGCATACATCAGCAAAATATAATGTATCCTGTAGAGAAAATGAAACGAAATAGAAAAGAACCAAAACACAAATGAAAAATATACAAGTAGCATTTTTCAAGCAATAAATAAAAAATCTCTGTATATATATATATGGTTAGCCATTAATACAACCTGATAGCATACGAGTTTCTAGGGCTAACGAATTTCCTAATCAGTAGTTCAAAATTAAGTCATCTGGGCTCCGAAAGATCAAAAAGTTAAGTATTGATAAATCACTTCCTATCAGCTATCAGGTATTCAACAAAGTTCCACAAGCCTCCAGGTAGAGAATACAACAAACAATAGAGGCGATTGCAATTCGCTTAAAGCAACAGGCATGAAATAGACCCACACTAAAAGAGAATTGGAGGATCTGAACTTTGTTGATGATATGCGTTTGATTTCCCACAAACTGGAAGATATGCAAGTGAAAAGTAACAACTTTGATAGAAAAAGCATCAAAGATAAAAGTTCAGGTGAACACAGAAACAACAGAGGTGATGAGGATTCCTGGGCAACAGCAGCAGCGACAAACAACTAGCATAAATGTCAAGCATTGTCTCAACCACAGGCGGACGGGACTGATGAGGAAATCAAAGCGAGGATCGGGAAAGAAAGGCAAGCTTTCATTACTCTCAAGTCTGTGTAAAGGAGATCAACACTCACCACTCAGCATGTAAAACAGGATGTGGATTTTCAACTCCAATGTGAAGTTAGTGCTACGGATAAGAAACTTGTCCAGCGCGTCAAGAAGGGCACATTTTGAACAAACTACACACCTCAACATCAACAGCTGTCTTCACTCAATACTTCGCTCAAGATCAGATGGCCGGCCAGAAAACATCAGCAACAGGGATCGCTGGCAATGAACAAACCAACCCAGCAGGAACCGACTGTGCAACAAATATGCAGGAAGAAATGGAGGTGAATTGGCTGACCATACTCTGAGAAAACAAACCATCAAGTGAAATCACGCGTCAGGCCATCGCTCGAGTGGTAGCCGAATGGGAAGTGGCGAGTTAGCTGGTCGTCAGTGCGAGGGTGACATGGAGGAGGGGTTGATGTGAAGAGGAGATGAAAGCATGTGGGCAGACATGGAGCCAAATGAAAACGTTGGTGGAGAACCGAAGGCAACGGAGAAGTTCGACTGAAACCCTATCTTCCTCTGGGAACTAAAGGAAACAATAATAATAATAATAACCTGTGATCTGTGTGCAAAAGAAACACATTTAGTCACTATTCTAACTTTGGGCTGCTTTGGAATCTATAAATTCAAATATTCTGTATCATTTTTCCTCAATTCATCTGATATTCAATTTATTATTTATTAATATTATCAGAAAAACGTGCTCTCGAACTGTAATCTTGAACAGGTTGTTTGTGGGGATTTAACTTGTTTCAAGTTTGATCAAGAATTGATATCAGTTACAGAACCGTTGAAAACCACCAAGAAGTTACTAGATAGTCAGCAGTTTCGTCCCGCTAGTTTAGGGATCATTGCCAGTATGCACCCATCAGGGTTCAAACACAGAACCTTCCTTGTTAGATAAGTTTATTTTAAATATCATACACAGTGATGATGCCGTATTAAGGACTGAACGACAGACAAGGTTTCGAGAATAAATTATTGCCACTCATAATCATATCAGTGTTAGTCATACGGTTTCACAATTTGTCTCATATGCATATTTTCTCTCTATTCTGTCTCTCCAACTTCCCTTCGTTATTTTTTTCCACTTTGCATATCTCCTGTATAGGCTTTGCGTCATTCTGATTGCACCTGTGCAATGGTGTTGAATCGATGAACAAAGCTTCAGTGATTAACTTCTCTCTGTTTCTCCACCTAACTATGTTACTTCTTAATACTCTCAACCTATCCCACCCACCCTATGGTGTATGATTACACATGCAATTGAATGCAGTACAATTGTGGTGAGATCTGGTTGGCTACTAGCCAAAATTGGTAGACAGTAATTTACGTCAATGTTTTTATGTCTTCAATATTGGTCGTGAGAAAAATGAGAACAAAGGCTTTGCGTAGGCGGATACAGTTAGCATATAGATGATCTGACCATCAAAGAAACAGCCACTATAGAGGTGAAAGATTAACTTTCAGTGAGAAACAACCAATCAAAAGACTGTGTTTGTCTACTAACAATAAGCCTCAGGATGATCGGGGGTGGGTGCCTTGCGCTGCGGGTTGGCCACCCCTCCGTACACCTCTTGAAATGCTCCCATATGACCTGGCGTCTTACATAGCCTCTCCTGAGGAAGTCCTACTCACTGCCTTCACGTGGCGGAGGTGTTTTTCACCGAAGTGAGAGGGCAAAAGCGAATGCCCGGCGCTCTTCACCGGGTTGACTGTCCATTGGATGACAATCTAGGGGAGATGGCTAAACCCTGATTCCAAACCTCCAACGACTGGCGTATGAAGCTCACCGGAGCTCACCGGCAGACGTGTGGACAAAGGGCTTATTGGATGCCGTGGATGTCTGGCCCCATTCAAAAAGGCGTATGAACCGGACTCCGGTCACCGGCTGCCAATCGATAGTGGACTCCCTACTCCACTCCTACTGCCTTGTAGGTCACACTTGGTTGTGTAAAGGCTAGAGCTGCACTCTCAAACAAAAGGTCGAGCGATGCTGGGGACATCACTCGTACCTAATTCCCATGAAACTTCATGAACTCTCTTACAAACAACTCTCACCATGCTACGGCGTTCCCGGTAACTTGGCGATGTCGCAAGGGTGGACAGCTGAAAACATGGCTTGGTACAGTCAAGGCTGATATGGAGTGTCTGGGGCTACAAACCGTCTACGGACTCCGTCTGTGGAACAAGAATTGGATAACCCTGTCGCAAAACTTTGCATCAGATCGCCGCGCCTGGGCAGCGATGATTCGAGATGTTCATGAAGCCGGCTCATCCTCCCGTAGGAGATAGCCGAAGTAAAGTAAAGTAAGTACTAACAATAATCCATAATAATAATGTACATGAAAATCTATAAATATGTGTTGATTCCCTCAAATAAACGATCTGTTGTCTGGCCCTTGTCTTTTGTTGTTACACAATGACTGGGCTTTTTTCTAGGTTATTTAACTTATCAGCGTCAACTATTCTAGGTCTAGATAAATTTTTATGTTCCAATCATCTAGCTGACCTTGATCTACTAGTTTGACTGGCCTATGTAATTCACCTCACAGTCATTCATTACATGGTATTTGGTAAATTTTAATACCTCTCTTAGTTGGATCTATTGGGTCCTTAAGCCGACAAAGTTTTTCTCTGAGAGAGAGAGAGTGTGTGTGTTTGTTTGTTAGTTTGAATGCCACCCTAATTCCAGCGTCATAGATAATCCTGCCTAAGGCCTCTGATATTCCTTCTTTAGACGGAAGTACTCAGAGGCTTTGAACTCTATATTATTCTCTTCGTCTAGGTTGTTAACCTGATTTATCAACCTACCCGACCGAAAGCTGCTACCTTGACGTGGTGGTCGGGCTTGAACACCGCAATGACCTAATCAAGCTATACTGGCTGGGACTTATGTCTCTTGAGGTCCTACCATGCCAGGCAGGTTGTTTGGATAGCGGTTAAACAAAAAGCAGCTACCCAATCCAATACTATGATACATACAAACTCACAAAATATCATTCCGGATCGGGGCCCGGATTAAAAACGACCGCGCTTCCTGCTGCCGTGTCACAGGGGCAGAAGTGATAAATATGCTACTGAGACATACCAAACAATAAAGAACAAACAAAAACAGGCCGCGTGTGACCGGCCTCAAGCAGTTGTCCCCTGGGCTCTGTGGTCACGCAACCAACTTCCACGGTGTGGGCAGCTGGGAAGTAACAATCGCCCTCACAATCCGAAATGCACACGAAACCTCTCTAATCCTCATTCATCTTCATCTCTATTATCTGATGCACCTCCTCTACTTGATGGCTCTTCACTTCCTCTTCACTCTGTGTCCACTAAAAACGACGGAAGCCAAAAAACCACCACCGACAGTCTCCTAAAGCCACGCCACCAATTTCATATAGGAGCATTTAATGTTAGGACACTTTGCCAAATAGGACAACAAGCATCACTAGCCAAGACCCTGGCATCCCGAGCCATTGATGTATGTTGTGTTTCAGAAACACGCATACAAGACCCAAGTGTGGTTATTCACCTAACCCCACCTGGCCAACAGGTTGAATCTGCAAAATTCACCTTGAGGGTGTCAGGAGATGCCACAGCTAGTTCACGAGGATTAGCTGGCGTAGGGATAGCTTTGAGTACTAGGGCAGAAAAGACATTGCTTGACTGGATCCCGGTAGATAGCCGAATGTGTGCTGTCCATCTGAACGGATCAGTAAAAAGGAGAAAGGACTGCACTACTCGCCGATGCCTTTTCGTAATCTCCGCCTACGCCCCCACTGACTGCAGTTCGGATGAAACGAAGGATGAGTTCTACCAAAAGCTGTCTAGTTTGGTGCGAAAGGCTAAACGCTCAGATATAGCTGGTGACTTTAATGCTCAAGTAGGGAAATTGTGTCAATCTGAGAAGGATGTCGGTGGCACCTATGGAGTTCCGTGCCAGCGAACCGACAACGGTGACCGTCTCCTACAGTTCTGTTTAGATAATCATTTGTTTCTTGTAAGCACTAACTTCAAACACAAGGAGAGACACTGTTTGACCTAGCGACCCCCATCATCAAACCAACGCTGGACACAAATAGACCACATAGCAATAAGCTATCGTTGGCGTGGGTCGGTAGGAGATTGTCGCTCCTTCTGGAACACGTGTGTAGATACCGATCACGCACTGGTCCGCGCTCGGGTGTGCTTACGACTGAACGGACGTAGGAAACAGCTGGCGGTAAAACCATCACGTCCCCAGCTCGATCAGGAAACTAAATCCCTATTTGAGGAAGAACTAGCTAAACGCATATCTGAGTTCGACAGCTGTGCTCACCCTGGAGAAGCCTGGAAGAATATTCAGTCAGCTATAGATACAGCTGTAAAAGCTGTGAATAAGGTAAACCCAAAGGTGAGTAAAAACCACTGGATCTCTACCGCCTCATCCGAACTGATAGATGCTAGAAGACTTATTCCGGCGAGCTCCGAATTCAATGAGGAGCGAAAGCTGCACAAAAGGAAACTTACGAAAAGTCTCCGCAAGAACCGTGAACAGTGGTGGGTGAAGAAGGCAACAGAGATGGAAAAAGCATCGGTGATAGGCAACACTAGGCAACTTTTTAGACTCATCAGGGAAACGGGTGGGAGAAGGCAAATAATATGTGAAGCAGTCTCGGAGAAAAATGACTCCATAATTAGCTCTCAGGATAGACGCCTTGAACTCTGGAAAGAGCACTATGAGGAGCAGTTTAATTGACCCACAGCCGCGCTCAACCTGCCGAACATCCAACACCTCCCTGAATGGGATATAGACACAAGTCCCCCTTCCTTAACTGAGGTTACTAAAGCTGTCACCAATCTGAAACAAAGCAAAGCAGCGGGACCTGATGGAATGACTCCAGAGGTATTAAAGTACGGCGGAGACAGTTTACTGTCTGCATTAACTGAGGTTCTAAGCAGCATCTGGGAATCAGGGGAAGTCCCGTCGGGTTGGTGTAAGTCACTGATTATCCCCATATACAAGAAAGGAGACAAATCCTCCTGTGATAATCACAGAGGGACTAGCTGGGTTCGAACCCCGGTGGGTGCGTACTGCTGAAGAGTCCCAAACTAGAACGAAACAGCTGGCCAGTGCTCTCAGGTTTTCCAATGGTTCTCCAACCAATATCATCTCATGAAGAAATCATGTAACCAATCAACCAAATCCGTACAAACCAATACTAGAATTATGATAGATATACTTACCTTTCTAGGTGCAGCAGTTGTAAACATACCAGCAAATATTGAGTCAATATTGGCCATTTTCATCGCTGCTCTAAACAGAAAACAAAAAACACTAAGCGATAAATAATAAATAATACTAATGTTCGCTTCGTATACACATGAATAATCGAATTTATTTTATTTATTCATACTGTCTGGCAGATGACGGTTATACCAGAGGAATCCAAGATATGCATTTGCTTCTACTTAAAACTTGTTCGCTGGATCTATTTACCAACTGGTGGTTTGCTGAGATTTCACTGGTTACAGGTTTGATGACAATTCGATATTAGGTTAGAGAACCATTGGAAAACCTGTGAGTACTGGACTTGAGATTGGAAGATCCTAGATTCAAAACCCGGTGGTTGTGTACTGGTAAAGAGTCACCAACTGAGACGAGACAGCTGTCAGTACTCCAGAATCTATGTACATTACAGTGAGTGGTGGTGAGTATCATCATCCGGAGGCGTTCTGGATACCACTGCTAGCGAATAATTAACCAAAACAACATTAGTTTCACCTCAAGAAACAATCTGTAAGTATGGTATGTGCTTTGCACCGTTTAAGTGTAAAGTACTGTTACAAGATTGGCAGGAGCCTATACCTGCACTCACTCTTGCAGGTGAACCCCTTGAAGTTGTCGATAAGTTTGTCTATCTGGGTAGTTGTGTAAGTGCGTGACGGATGAGATTTCCAACAGTGTCATGAAAGCTAGGGTGGCATACGTTAGCTTGAGCCACCTCAGGTGACATTAGCCTGGCACTCAAAAGTCGGGCATAAAATGTTTCGGTGCTGGCTGTCTTGCTCTACACCTGTGAAACCTGGCCTCTCCAGACTCAGGATGTGCGGCGACTTAGTGTATTCGACTATCGCTGTCTTCACAGGATTGCTTACGTTCGATGGCATCATCGTGTGAGTAATTCTGGGGTTTGGCATGTGTCTGGACACAGTGGAGATCATCATTCGTTAAGTGTTGTGTTCTGGAAACACCGGCTTCAGTGGCTTGGACATGTGCTACGAATTTCATTCCAGAGGCTTCCATATCGGTCTATGTTTGCTAGCCAGCCCTGGGACGGGATGGAAAAAGCAGAGAGGTGGTCAGCCCATGTCAGCCCACCATGAGATAAAGGATATTTGTGTTAGGTTAGCATTGGTTGGTGCGTCACGACTCCCTGGTTGGGGTCCACAAGATAGCTGGAATCGATGGCTTGAAACGTGATCGGATATGGCCAAGAATTGCAATCAGTGACGAATGCGCTGCAGTTTCCTTCTTTCTTCCCTACCCGATGATAGTTAACGAATACTGTTTGAACTTATTAAGTATGGCTGTCTTCCTTCTAGATGAAGTTCCTTGTCTGTTCTCCACCTATATTTTTACTTTTAATCTATGTTGTTTTATTATTATTGTGTGGCGCACCTTCTTGGCGCCATATTTCACCAATTTTTTGTGTTTAAATCATAAATAACAACGAGGAACCATACAAGAATCCCCATTACGAAGTGGTATAGCAACGGAGACATGTGAACAATGCAGAAAAACACAAAATCCTATTAACTATGCAAAGTCTGAAATTATTAAGATGGAGATTTTTAGTTCAGATGGATCATTCCAGAGTTGTTATGTTCACGGAATTGAATGATCTGATTGCAGGAGTTTCATTGTCTGTCTGGACAACATTGTCAGTACTAAGTTCAATAGAAATCTCAGAACACTCTCTGTCGTCTAGGTATCCACCCGGAACAATATGTTAAAATCACTCATAAGTGTTCGCATCCAATTAGTTTCACATCTACGATTCTTTACTAATATATCACTTCCCCAAAATAAACACACTAGGCATTTGATTACCTAAGTTCGTCGTTCGTCAAGGAAGGGCGACTTACGCCTCACATTGCAAGGAATGGCTTGGAATCATGCTCTTGTCCACGTCAAGTAAAATACTAAGCCGTATCATTCTGGAAGGAATGAAATATGCACTGGATACAAAACTCCACCCCAGAGAACAGGCTTGATTCAGGAAAGGCAAATCATGTACTGATCAAACTGTAACTTTATGCATCATCACCACAGAACAAAGCATAGAATGGCAGTCAACTCTCACTCCACCTCAACTTCAACGACTTCGAAAAGGCCTTCAACAGACAGCGTTGACTGAGAAGTAATTTGGAAAACTACTTCAGCACTACGGAGCACCTCCAGTCTTTATCAACCTTATTCTACAGCTGGCTAATAGGACAGTGCTGCGCGTCAGGTGATCTATAACGGTAAACTCAGCGAGATGTTCGAAGTATATGCAGCAGTCAGACAAGGCAATCTGCCTATTATCACCGATGATATTCCTATTTGTGATGGACTTGATTATGCGGAAGACTGTGGGTAGTGAGGAGAGAAGAATACGTTGAAACGATAAGAAGACTCCATCTAGAAGATCTGGATTTCGTGGATGATTTATGTCTAATGTCTGTCTGTCTGTTTCCGACATAGAACTTTGTCTAATGTCACAGAAGCTCGAAGACATACAGGCGAAAACCAACAAACTGTCTGAAGAAGCAGTTAGCGAAGACAGGACTCCAGGTGAACATAGAGAAGACAGAAGTGATGAAGATAACCGACCAAGCAATCAATAGCATCAACAAACAGCACCAATCAACGTCAAAAGGAGAGATTTAATAGAGGTTAATTCCTGCCTTCACTTTATCAGTAGGAAGCATCGTTTCAACTACAGACCAGTGGAACGGATGAAGATGTCAAAGCCAGTCAGAATCGGAAAGGCAAGATGCGCCATCATCAACACTTGAAACCAGTTTGGAAATCTTCTGCACTATAACTCAGTCGGCATTAAGATTAAGATTCGGATTTTTAACACCAATAATGTGAAGTCGGTCCTTCTACACGGGTCAAAAACTTGGCGTGTAACGAAAAGGATTTTCAACAGACCACTGCAGACTTTTATCAAGAGCTGCACTCACTGGGTCCACATTGCAGATCAAATGGCCAGCCGGAAAGAATTAGCAACGAGAAACTCTGGCTAGCAGGCTGGGAACAAACCGACCAAAAGCCGATCGCTCAACAAATATGCAGGGGAATGTGGAGATGCATCGAGCATATATTGAGGAGGCTGTTGAATGACATCGCGCGGAATGCAAGCCATCGCTCGAATGAAATCCAAATGGGAAGTGATAAGTGGGTCGTCGGTACGAGGATAACATGGAGGAGATCGTGTGAGGAAGAGATGAGGTATTATGGGCAATCATGGACCTAGCTGAAAAGGATGGCAGAAAATAAAAGGAAGTGGAGATGTGTTGTTGAAAAAGTGATATATTCGGTCAATCATCGAACCTAACCTAACTAGATCCAATTGGATCCTCCATCTAATTACTGAAACCTTCTCAATCAATCAATCGATGATGAAAAATATGATAAGCAAAAACGAGAAAAAAAGCGAATACTTGTCTGTCATTCCACCCCACGTACCGGTTCATAAAAATACTTTTCTTAATCATTTCATACGGATTACATCGTTCATGACTTTCAGTCACTGTTGTCTTCGATAAATCATCCAATTGATTCTAGTAATTAACATGAAAAAGGAGGAAAAGAGAATTTTCTCGAAAATGTGACGGATAAAACCGAACTATTGCATAACACACCTCTGTGATAAAGCATAAAGCAAGTCATTCAGGGAATGACACATACTTACCAGATGGTGTGCGAGTGTGTGTGTGTGTGTTGATAGCAAGCAGAGAGTTAGATAAGCTACAACCTTAGAAAGGTCAAAACGAGCGACAAAAACAATATCGACCAAATGAGCATAGGAACTTGAAGTCCCACTTCACGAGGCCAATTTCATTAGTTATTTCCTGGCTGGACTTTCCAAGAATCGTCAACTTCATTATTATTATTATTTCCCTTAGTTTCTAGAGGAACATGGGGCTTCAGCCGAACGTCTCCATCCCCTTCGGTTCTCCACCAATGTTTTCACCTTGCTCCACATCTGCCCATATGCTTTCATCTTCTCTTCACATCATCTCCTCCTATATGTCACCCTCGCACTGAGGAAAAACTAACAGCTTCCCATTCGGCTTCCACTCGAGCAATGGCCTGTCGTGTGATTTCACTTGATGGTTTGTTTTCTCAGAGTACGGTCAGCCAATCCACTTCCATTTCTTCCTGCATGTTTCTTGCACAGTCGGTTCCTGCTGGGTTGGTTCACACCCAGAAATCCCTCCTTGCTTCTGATCTTTTCTGGCCGGCCATCTGATCTTGAGCGAAGTATTGAGTTAAGACAGCTGTTGATGGAGGTGTGTAGTTTGTTCGAAATGTGCCCTTCTTGACGCGCTGGACAAGTTTCTTATCCGCATGTTACGTAGCATTAACTTCACATTGGAGTTGAAAATCCACATCCTGTTTTACATGCTGAGTGCTGAGTGTTGATCTCCCCCACACATACTTGAGAGTAATGAAAGGTTGACTTGCTTTCCCGATCCTCGCTCTAATATCCTCATCAGTCCTGTCTGCCTGTAGTTGGGACGATGCTTCCCAGGTAGGTAGGTAGGCAGGTGAAGGAGGTTGATTCTTTCACATTTCTCCCATTTATGCTGGCTGATTGTTGTCTGCTGTTGTTGCTGTTGCTATTGCTGTTGGCCAGGAATCTTCATCACCTCCATCTTCTCTATGTTCACCTGAAGTGATGTCCTATCTTTGATGCCTCTTCCTCTGTCAACTTGTTGCTTTTCACTTGCGTATCTTCCAGTTTGTGGGAAATCAGACATATATCATCGGCGAAGTTCAGATTCTCCAAGTTTTTGTGTGGGTCCATTTCATGCCTGTTTCCTCACTGCCCGCTGTCTTTCTGTCGCATTATCCAGTCTACCTCAATCAGGAAAATCATAGGAAATAGTAGACAGCCTTGTCATACATCATACCTTCTTGTAAAATAACATGGATTGATCTTATAGACATTGAACAGCCTCTTTCCATGCGATGCACCTGAAGCTTTCATGAAGATCTGAATTCAACAGTAATCCATGTCTGAAATTCAGTCAAAGTTCGTTCCTATTACTTTTCATCATAAAAGCCTTGCATATTACACCAGGCACAAAAAACAGTGGTAACCAAAGAGATATGAACGTCTCATGAAACAGACAACACTAGGATCAACGAGGATGACAGGGTTACACAATAATTCACTTTACATATCCCAATGATATATCTGCTTGATATCTTCTATCCTCCACAAAATAGACAGTCGGTTTGATTGTATGACGGAGTTGTCAGAAACAAGCCAACTTCAGTCCAGTGATCACAAGCTAGATGTCACAAACCTTCTGCGGTCTCAATTCCACAGGAACTAAAATCAACTCCTTCAAGTATTGAATTTTATTCCGGAAACATGATCGATCATACCTGGAAGTCAAGTGAACACGGATGGATGGACGGATATCTATGAATCGCCTTCCAATATTTTGACTTCTTACACGATCCCAAGTGCTTCGAAGCTCAATAACGTCTTCCACATTTCTCCAACAAATCAAAGATCCTTTACGAGTTGATCACTGATTGAAATCAGTTAGATAACCATTGAATATGAGGGAGTACTGGACAGCTGCTTCATCATAGTTTGGGAACCATCGGTAGTACGCACCCACCAACAGGGTTCGAACCCGGGACTTATTAAAGATTACCTTCTCGTAGTCCATCTAAACACTGAGACTTGTGAATCCTGTAAATTATCATCACCCTATTATAAACGGTGATACAAATTCCTTCGATATGTGTAATTTACTTTCTTCACAATTCATGTAACTGGACATTGTCTCACAAAACAGACGTCAACAACTGATCCATTAGTTCCGCTGAGTATTTCCAACAACCAGATTATGAAAAGCATCCATTTGTAGTGCTGAGCGATCTGATTGGCTAGTCCAAGGTCATTTGACCGTGGTGTCTATTCTTTAATTTTGCAGCATTTTTAACAGGGTAATGCAGCAGTTCATTAACACCCGTTTTCGCTGGCTCGATACTGGCTATCAGATGGTTGACTAAATCGGATAAGCAGCAAGGAATTCTGTCAGGCAACGGACCAACTAAGAACCTATCACCCAGCAAATATTCAGAAGGAAGTAGAGACGCACTAGATATAACGCTTAGGAGACTGTTGAGTGATACTGTAGTGAGAGCTGCTTGGAGGCCAAAATTATACTACAAGAACAAAGCATAACCTTGAGGAACCCAACAACCAATCACAGCAAACTTAATGTGGGCGGATACGATTCGCAGATATATCACCGGACTTTCAAAGAAATGGCAACAAAGAGATGACAGAATAACCTTCAGCAGGAAAACAACCAATCAGAAGACGTTGCTTCCCTGCCAACAATAACGCTAATAATAATAATGTACATGAAAATCTATAAATATCTGTTGATTTTCTCAATAAACTATCTATTGACTGGTCCTTGTCTTCTGTCGTTACAATATCACACGCCCAAAAACAGTCGTGTGTTATATACCTGGCGAAGTTCAACAATAGCGTTCCAGGAGTGCGAACGCTCCAATGGCCTTGAACGCATTCTAATCGCTGACTGACGGCATCTGTCATTATCATAGCAGAAATATCAACGCTATTCACCCACTAAGGAACAAATTACACCCAGATCACGTTTTTAAGTACTGTTTCGATAATGTTTTAATGGCTCGTTACGGTTCCGATTAGGGTTAGGTTTATGGTTAGGATAAAGGTTTTATTTAGGGTTACGATTAGGGGTAGATTTAGAGTTGTTGTCATTTATTTTGATTTGTTTTATTATCCACATTTTCCTCGTAAGTAGTCGTCGTTCTTCTTAGGGGAAACCACAGTAATTCAACAGAGGGCTTTTGGGGAAGACTGCACAACAGGATACGAACGATAAACGATTCACAAAAACAGCTCATCTTAAGTTACCTCGGTGAATAGATGTAGAGAAACGAGTCTAACTTAACAGCTGACATTCCTCATTATAACTGGGACGTATTTTTAAGTCACATCAGAAAAAGATATCCTGTTTAACGTGTTTTCATGCATTTTTCTTGTAAATATACGTCATTTTTTATGCAAAATTCCTCATGATTGGCCGGCTCAAGGTCACTCATGCGTTCACACCTCTTGGGATGCGATTGTTGAACTTTGCCATATAACTTTTAGATTTAAAGATAAGCAAATATGAGACTACACGTTAACATAGAACAATACAACACACCGAGAAAAAAATTTGAATCAAACCTTATAAGCCAGCATTTCACCAACAAGTTTTGATGAACAAAATTTATCCTGATTATTCATTTCTTTAATAGGTGGACCTAAAGCTTCAGGTTCATTCGGAGAAATTAGGATAGACTTCAAATGCGAAACAGTGCACAACTCCACTTTATCATGAATTGACCATGTCCAGATTAGATCATTATCAGCAGAGGCTTCATCTCTTCCTTCATACCAAACTAAATTTGGATCTTTAGATTGATAGATTTCTCCTGGTGAATATGCTTCCGAGTGTTGTCGTTGTTGTTCGTCAGATTTACTGCCTAGACCGAGACCACTTCGACCTTTCTGTTTACTCATTGCCACTGGTTCCACTACACCCTGAGCATTAATACCCAAGCCCTGACCTTCCTCGTAACCCATTTTCCGCTATTGATGGTTACAGGGGGAAAAAGAAAAGAACACACCGAAACATTGAAATTGTAAATTCTTTGATTATAATTATTATTGATTACAAGATTCCATAATGAGCACCCACAGCCATGGTTCAAACCCAGGAACAAGGCGAGCTTGTAGACCATTAAAGTCGCTGAGACCCGGTACAATGGCAAGCCCATGAATTCCAACTTCTGCCAATTGACGATATGACGCGACTGGCACTAGCCAACGTCATCGGAGCGACTATCTGTCCTCACACCCGATCTGCTGTACCCCAATGATGTCAGCTCATGATGAAATCCTGTAGCCAATCAAACCAAATCCCTGCAAACCAACACTTGAATACTATTATTGATATTATTAACACAAACTTGGTACATATCATGGGCGTCAAGAGATAGATAGAATAAACAAGGGACAACATCCAGAAAGCGAATAAGCCTATCTGTCAAGACCATTTATCATTATTCAAGACTTTATGTTAATTGATGCGCGACATACAATGGAAATCGGTCAGTTTTTCTTTCAAAAAAATCAATACACAAAGAAAAGCATGGTTACTCTGGTTCGCAGAAGCCATTGCCATCAAAAGACTTCGACTCAACCTATTCATACAGAAAGAGTGTGACTAATCTCTCACTACCCTACCTAGTAACCGTAATTGTTTTGTTCGTGTGGTTCGGTGTTTTGTTTTGTTCTGTTACATAACATTCCAGTCAATCTTGATTTTGATTTTTACTCACTGAGTTGAACTTGCTATTACGGTTCCAAGTCTATTCAGTTAAATTATTTTATCTATTTTATCACTTTACTATTCATCCCTTCCAGGAATCCAGGTGAACATAGACAAGACGGAGGTTATGAAAATAACCAGCCAACAACAACAACAGCAGCACCAACATCCAGCGTCAATCATTATCAACGGGAGGGATTTGAAAGAGATTACTTCATTCATTCACTTATCTAGGGAGCATTGTCTCAACTACAGGAGGAACGGACGAGGATGTCAAATCGAGCGAGAATCGGGAAGGCGAGAAACACATTCATCAACCTGAAACCAATCTGGAAATCTTCGTCACTCAGCCAGTATCAACAACAAAATTCAGTCGGATTTTCAATACAAACGTCAAGTCAGTCAGCCCTTCTATACGGATTAGAAACTTGGCGGGCGAGTCAGAAAGAATATTTGCAGCCGGTTGCAGACATTTATCAACCAACAACTGTCTTCGCTGGCTCTATACTGAAGATCAGATGGCCGAGCCGGAAAGAATCACCAACAAGAAACTATGGGACCAAATAAAGTAAGAACCAATTGCACAACAAATATGCAGGAGAAAGTGGAGATGGATCGGACACTCGCTGAGGAGGCCGCTGGGTGACATCACGCGCGTCAGGCCATTGCTCGAGTGGAACCAAGCCGAAAGGGAAGCGGCGAGTGGGTCGTCAGTGCAAGGGTGACATGGAGGAGATAGTGTGAAGAGGAGTTGAAACAGTATTGACCAACATGGATGCAGGTGAAATGTAAAGCAGAAGGCGGAAGCAAGTGGAGACGTGTAGATGAAGCCCTATGTTCCACTAGGAACCCAAGGGAACAATTATAGTAATAATAATGATTCATCCCTCCCCCACCCTCCTGAATTCTCCACCATAATATGTGTAAATCCACTCTGTTATTCTATTTTATTTTTTTTTCTCTAGTCCATCCTTTTCTCCAAGAGAAATCTGGATACCGCCCCTTTGTCTAATTACTATGTAGATAGTTACTCTGTTAACACCAAATAATTGTCTACTTACATCATCTATGAAATTATATTGCTTATACTCTCTACCTATAACTCAAAGTGACTGGAAAAAGTATGCTTAAAAATTTTGTAACATATAATTGACTTATTTGGGATGTGGGCAGTTGAAGAGAATTCACGAAATAAAACAAGCTCTTAGTATCCTGCAAATATGTTCGTTCTTTATTTATTTAAACTAATAGGGGGAACCGGTTGTATGAAACTTCATGTTACTTTATTTCATGGAAAATTCCTATTGAGACATATAGAAAATCAAAACAAATCATTCAGCGAAGAGATTCTTTTCAACCAATTTGTTATCAAGCCCGTAAAATCGTATTTTTTACTTATTTTTTTTATTTATTTTCCTTTACGTTCCCAGCGGAACATAGGGCCTCAAGCCATTGGCTTGAAGTTTCTGTAGCAGTGTTTATTTTTACAGGATGGGGGTTGTTAGCCTCATGTCCAACCTTTCCTCTTTACCAGTCTCACTCCTGGCTTAGCGAGGTAAAGGAGTGAGTCAGCCGGGGATCGAACCCTGGACCATGTACATGGTCGGCGAGCGTCCTAACCGCTATACCATCGATGCACCAATTTTTAATTGTTATTAATATTATTCTCACTTTGGACTGTTTCCCGGTATGATTTCACTTGTCCCATTTGTCATTCTAAATCAAAAATTTTGTTTTGCAATGTTGAATTCTATGTTGTCAAATTTTATACAAGGTTTTACGTGAACATTTTTATTTTATTCTTAGGGTAAAGTAAACATTAACATTTATGCAAACTAATACACTTTTCAAATATGACTTACCATAATCTTCCAAGCTCCAACCGTTGGATCGCAGATCTACATCAAAAATAAAAATAATAGTATGTAGTACATGATACGTAAATATCAACAAAAAGCTTGAAGTTTCGGTAACAGTGGTTTTTAATTATTTTTACGGTATGGAGTTGCTAGCTAGCCTCATGCCCAACCTTCCCTCTTTACCAGTCTTACTACTGGCTTAGCGGCGTAAAAGAGTGCGTCTGAGGCCAGAAATCGAACATCGAACCATCTGCGTGGTTGGCGAGCATTCTACCGACGCACAGTACAAGATAAATGTTGTAGTCAAACAAAAGGGTTTACCGTTAAGAAAGTAGGTTAGTTGATGAAGCAGTAGATCCCAACTTGTTGACTACGGTGTGCCTGAGATGTGCTTAACTCACAAATCGATGCATCGCCTTCCCGAACATGGACTACTTGTGTGTGTATATGTGGTTGGTTGGTTAGTTGGTTGATGAGCACTTTGTCTTCATTTATTATGACATGATTTCTCCATCCCCTGTCACACCCTTTTACCCACTGTAGTCTGTCTGTCTGTTTTCGACATAGAACTTTGCACAAATGTGCGGAAGTTCAAGTCGCCACATTCCGTGTAGCACGCGAAGCAAGAGAAGAAAGTACAAGAAAAGCATAATAGAAACAGTGAGCAGAGGTGTGAGACAAAGGAGTAATAAAGAAATACAAAACAGTTTCATTGGAGATCATAAGTCACAGGGAGTGGATGCATCTGCGCCACTGAGAACGATTTTGAGCCATGTCACCAATTGTTTCCAACCATAGATTTTTACCGTCCCGAGGACCCCAGCCTGGAAGTCTACACCTTCCTACGTGGCTTAGACCAACTGTTGTGGATTTCATTGACTGATGCCAAGTTTTTGTTTGACCGCCGCTAGCTTTTTTCCAGCCTGACCCTATATCCGCTAACATTGCTCGTCGAGGGAGGCGATGGCTTGGCATACGTAACACATGTCCTAACCATCTCAGTCTTTGTAGCTTCACGACTTCGTCGATTGATTTCCCCTGTTTACCTAGAACTCTACGCCTAACCTCCATGTTGCTCACCTTATTATGCCACTTTACACGGGAAATAGAACGCAGGCACCTATGATCAAAGACAGCTAGTCTTTTCATGTCTTCCACTCTCAGTGGCCAGGTCTCACAACCATAAAGGAGGACGGAGCGGACTGATGAGCAGTACACCCGCCCTTTGGTCGATAGTCGAACATCTCGTCTACGCCAGAGTCGGCGTAAACTAACAAATGCGAAACGAGCCCCTTGTATTCGTGCTGAGATTTCGTCAGAGATCAACCCGTTGGGGCTGATGGTACTTCCCAAATAAGTGAAGCGGTCAACGTGCTCTACCACTTCACTTCCTATTTTTAAACTAGGCGTCGATGTAGTCCAGTCCTGTAACATCATCTTGCATTTGGCGGGAGCGAATCGCATGCCAAACATTCGTAGATTGCGGCTCAAGGTGTTTAGAAGACTCTGCATTTCGTCAGCGTCTTCGCCTAGAAGGACTATATCGTCTGCATATTCCAAGTCAACGAGATTATTCCCCGGTAGCAAGTCAATCCCTGAGTCGCTGAAGTCACCTAGGGTTAAGTCCATTAACACATCTATGATGAAGTTGAATAGAAAAGGAGATAATGGGCATCCTTGACGGACACCACTGGTCGTCATCAGTTCAGATGACAGCTCGCCGTAAGCCCTCACCTGGCTGTATGAGTACGAATAGAGTGCCTTAATCAGTGCAATATATTTTCTTGGAATTCCCTTTACAGCCAAGCATCTCCAGAGAACTTCCCGATCGACAGAGTCGAATGCTGCCTTTAGGTCAAGAAATATAATGACTGTTGGACGCCGGTAGGAATGCCTATGTTCTAGAATCTGTCGGAGGGTGAAGATATGATCAATACACCCTCTTCCTGGTCTAAAGCCTGCCTGGCTCTCTCGTGTTTGTGCTTCCCGAGCACCACTCAGTCTACGCATGATTATTGAGCCTAAGACTTTAGATACTATATTAGTCAAGCTAATCCCTCTGTGATTATCACAGGAAGACTTGTCTCCCTTCTTGTATATGGGGATAATCAGTGACTTACACCAACCCGATGGGACTTCTTCTGATTCCCAGACGCTGCCTAGTACCTCAGTTAATCCGGACAGTAAGCTGTCTCCACCGTACTTAAATACCTCTGGAGTCATTCCATCAGGTCCCGCTGCTTTGCCTAGTTTCAGATTGGTGACAGCTTTAGTAACCTCAGTTAGTGACGGAGGACCTGTGTCTATATCCCATTCAGGGAGGTGTTGGATGCTCGGAAGGTTGAGCGTGGCTGTGGGCAAATTAAACTGCTCCTCATAATGCTCTTTCCAACGATCCAGTCGTCTATCCTGGGAGCTAATTATAGTGCCATTTTTTTCCGAGATTGTCTCACTAATGATTTGTCTTCTCCCACCCGTTTCCCTGATGAGTCCAAAGAGTTGCCTGGTGTTGCCTATCCTCAAAGCTTTCTCCATCTCTTTGGCTTTTGTCGCCCACCACTGTTCACGGTCCTTGCGGAGACTTTTCGTAAGTTTCCTCTTGTGCAGCTTTCGCTCCTCATTGAATTCGGAGCTCGCCGGAATAAGTCTTCTAGCATCTATCAGTTCGGATGAGGCGGTGGAGATCCAGTGGTTTTTACTCACCTTTGGGTTTACCTTATTCACAGCTTTTACAGCTGTATCTATGGCTGCCTGGATATTTTTCCAAGCTTCTTCAGGGTGAGCACAGCTGTCGAACACAGATATGTGTTTAGCTAGTTCTTCCTCAAATACGGATTTAGTTTCCTGATCGAGCTGGGGACGTGATGGTTTTACCGCCAGCTGTTTCCTACGTCCGTTCAGTCGTAAGCACACCCGAGCGCGGACCAGTGCATGGTCGGTATCTACGCACGTGTTCCAGAAGGAGCGACAATCTCCTACCGACCCACGCCAACGATAGCTTATTGCTATGTGGTCTATTTGTGTCCAGCGTTGGTTTGATGAAGGGGGTCTCCAAGTCAAACAGTGTCTCTCCTTGTGTTTAAAGTTAGTGCTTACAAGAAACAAATGATTATCAGAGCAGAACTGTAGGAGACGGTCACCGTTGTCGGTTCGCTGGCACGGAGCTCCATAGGTGCCACCGACATCCTTCTCAGATTGACACAATTTCCCTACTTGAGCGTTAAAGTCACCAGCTAGAACGACTATGTCTGAGCGTTTAGCCTTTCCACCAAACTAGACAGCTTTTGGTAGAACTCATCCTTCGTTTCATCTGAACTGCAGTCAGTGGGGGCGTAGGCGGAGATTACGAAAAGGCATCGGCGAGTAGTGCAGTCCTTCCTCCTTCTTACTGATCCGTTCAGGCGGACAGCACACATTCGGCTATCTACCGGGATCCAGTCAAGCAATGTCTTTTCTGCCCTAGTACTCAAAGCTATCCCTACGCCAGCTAATCCTCGTGAACTAGCTGTGGCATCTCCTGACACCCTCAAGGTGAATTTTGCAGATTCAACCTGTTGGCCAGGTGGGGTTAGGTGAATAACCACACTTGGGTCTTGTATGCGTGTTTCTGAAACACAGCATACATCAATGGCTCGTGATGCCAGGGTCTTGGCTAGTGATGCTTGTTGTCCTATTTGGCAAAGTGTCCTAACATTAAGAGCTCCTATATGAAATTGGTGGCGCGGCTTTAAGAGGCTGTCGGTGGTGGTTTTTTGGCTTCCATCGTTTTTAGTGGACGCAGAGTGGAGAGGAAGTGGAGAGCTATCAAGTCGAGGAGTTGCATCAGTGGAAGGAAGGCAAGATGATAGAGATGAAGATGAAGACAAAGATGAGTGAGTAATAGAGAGGTTTCGTGTGCATTTCGGATTGTGAGGGCGATTGTTACTTCCCGGCTGCCCACACCGTGGAAGTTGGTTGCGTGACCGCAGAGCCCAGGGGACAACTGCTTGAGGCCGGTCACACGCGGCCTGTTCTTTTTTTTTTTTTTGTTTGGTGTGTCTCAGTAGCAGATTTATCACTCCAGCCCTGTGACACGGCAGCAGGAAGCGCGGTCGTTGTTAATCCGGGCCACGGCCGATCCGGCATGAAATTTTGTAATTTTGTATTGGACATGATGTTGGATTGGGTAGCTGCTTTTTGTTTAACCGCTATCCAAACAACCTGCCTGGCATGGTAGAACCTCAAGAGACATAAGTCTCAGCCAGTATAGCTTGATTAGGTCATTGCGGTGTTCAAGCCCGACCACCACGTCAAGGTAGCAGCTTTCGGTAGTATCCGCCAGTTTTGTTTTTCTCTTCTACTTGTATACCGTTTCAAAGAATGGTGAGTTCAACTGATGACTTTGGTATCAGAAGTGACAATGAAGTCAAACAAATATACAAAATGTGCAGAATAATAATAGTGTTAACCGCTAAAATTATACGTTAATTGAAAAAATATTACCACAAATTACAAAGAGGAGGAAATAAAAGAGCCAATCCTTTGCCTAATAGGTAGGTGTTATTGGCTTCGAGCTCAACATTATCTCTATCACATAAGACGCAGGTGAAATATGTCACCGCTCTTTCTCCACTTGGTTGTATGGGCGAGCATATAATCTTCTATACTAACTTCTACTCCTACCTGATAAGATGGTGTGAAGGAGGGGGAGTGTTGAGAGTCAGACAATACGGATTTAGACCATTTGTCACGTCAGTTCAGGTGTCTATCGACTTTAGTACAGTGGTAACGAGCTGAGTTAGTAGCGGCCCACCACTTGTCCTCCCGACGGCCTTTAATAGCCTTCTCCTCCTCAATACGGCATATCCCTTTTTGAGTAGTCCAGGAAATACTAAGGGGGAGCGGTGAAGTCAAATATCTACGACGCAAGATCGAACAAATTGCAAAAGTAGAGGTTGAGTGATTCCAGACAATCTGGAATTGTTAATGTAGTAGATTAGACTGAACATTTTCTCAGAAACCTACAAGATATGAGAGGAATAAGAAAGTCCAAAGGAGAGAATTATTTTGACCTATTTTTGCTTAAATTAATTTCTATTTATATACCTTCTATGCTACAAGCATCTTGTACGGTAAGTTGTCATCTCAAGTGGTGACAACTAGTGGTGCCCATAACTATTCCCATTTCTACTCAATTTCATCACAGATGTACTAATGGAATTAACCCTAAGCGCTGACTTCAGCGACTCAGGGATTGACTTGTTATCAGGGTTTAGTCACGTTGACTTAGAATATGCAGACGATATGGTCCTTCTAGGCGAAGACGCTGGAAAAATGCAGTCTTCTGAACACCTTGAGCTGCAATCTACGAATGTTTGGCATGTGATTCGCTCCCGCCAAATGTAAGATGATATTACAGGACTGGACTACACTGACTCCTAGTTTAGAAATAGGGAGTGAAGTGGTACAGCACGTTGACCACTTCATTTATTTGGGAAGTACCATCAGCCCCAACGGGTTGATCTCTGACGAAATCTCAGTACGAATACAGAGGGCTAGTTTCGCATATGATAGTTTACGCTGTCTCTGGCGTAAACGTGATATCCGACCACCGATCCAAGGGCGTGCGTACTGCTCAGCAGTTCGCTCCGTCCTCCTTTATGGCTGTGAGTGAGACCTGGCCATTGAAAGTGAAAGATATGGAAAGGCTGGCTAGTTATCTTTGGTCATAGGTGCCTGCGTTCTATCTCCCGTGTGAAGTGGTATAATAGCGTGAGCAATTTGAGGTTAGGCGTCGAGCACGAGGTAAAGAGGGGAAATCAATCGACGAGGTTGTGAAGTTACATCGATTAAAATGGTTAGGACATGTGTTACATATACCTGCCTAGCCATCGCCTTCCTCGACAATGGGCAATGTTAGCTGATATAGGAGGGATCAGGTTGGCAAAGACCTGGTGGTGGGAGAAACAAAACATGGCTTCATCAGTCAGTGATATCCACAACAGTTAGTTTAAGCCAGCCACGTAAGAAGGTGTAGACGTCCTGACTAGTAGAGGTCCTCGGGATAGTAAACACCAATGGCTGGAGACAACTGATAATATGGCTCAAAATAGTTTTCAGTGGCGCAGATGTATCCACTCTTTGTGACTCATAATACCCAATGAAACCATACTGTTTTTTGTTATTGCCATTCCTTCTGACTCATATCTCTCTTTACTGTCTCTACTTTGCATTTCTTTTTACTTTCCTCTCCGGTTTTGTGTTGGGTGAAGTTTGGCGACTCGAACTGCTGCACACCAGTGCAACAGTTGGGGCTGATGCAGCTCTCCGAATTAGTGAATTGGTCAACACGCTCCACTATTTCTAAGCTAGCAGTCAATGTAGTCCAGTCCTGCAGCATCATCTTACATTTGCGATTATATGTTATGTAGGTAAACTATTTGAAAAAAGAACCAAATAGAACTCACTTTGTGGTAATTACCACTAACAAACAGCACAACAGATTACCAATAAATACTACTCATCTTACGTGTGTGTGTGTGTATCACGTACTACACTTTTGGGCCTTTTATTTAAATACACTTGAAACTTGCTTCAGTGAAAACATTGCCGGCTAGCAGACAATATTCGTCTACGGTTGAGGATAACAAATTGGCAGTTAGAATACATGTAAGGTCAGTGACTCCTGCCCTAACACTTCAGAATTGTTGACGATGGTGAAAATACCAGCTGTTAATATGAGCATTGCAACAATCTCCCTTAAAATGTTTTCTCTCTTACAAAACTTCTTTGATTTCAAGTTTTATTAATTCAGATTTATCACACCATCGGTTAACATTAATTCACCTTTACATTTCAACCTGTACGTCGGTGATTCAAGGGTAGAATCCCCGCCAACTATTCACGTGATCCGGGGTTCGATCCTTAACCGACACATTCCTAAACCTCGCTTAATTTACTAGTCAGTAGTCATCGCGAGAAAAAGAGGGAAGGTAGTGTGTGTGTGTGTGTGTGTGAGTGTATGCGACGGTAGCAGCCTCATCCTATAAAATAAAAACACCGCTTCTAGTGAGATCAAAGTTCAGGTTTGGATTCCTATGCTCTACGTAAACGCAAATGAATACAAGCAGATATTGCAATCCATTTCTTTTCTGCTCAATTCCTTAAAGTTCTGGTTGTTTTACCTACATACTGGACCAATCAACTGTCTAATAAATTGTTTCAAGAGGTAGACTAATGCAACATGACTAAATGAAGAATCCTCACCAAAACTAAAACTATCAATTACAAGCTAAATGTCATGAGCAGATAACATAAATAATTAGGCATATATCAGCTAAAACAAAATAATATATACTAAGGCAATAATTACCTTACGCTTCTCAGCCTTCCCCATTGAGTGTTTATCCGACATCTACAACATGAATTAAGAATGTAATTATTCAATTTAGTAATAACAAAAAATAAAATAAAAAGGCGTAAGTCAGGAAATTCCAGTGTATATTTATACAATTTTTATACCTGGTAATACAAAAGGTGTATTACAGGTAGAGCATATCGGACTGAATTCACAAAATACAGATAAACAAACAGAACAAACATAACCAATATCAATTAATCGTTTATGACAGAAGCAGGCAGCTCTGAAGTCAACACCAAAAGATGAACCACTAGATCGACTATCAGGGAGTAATAAAGATGCTCTCATTTTAGAAGATGGTAGAAACACCGATAATAAATACTGAAGTAAACCAGAAACTCTTGGTACTTGCAAATAAATTCCACCTGTTAAATCTGCAGCTTGTTGCAGTAAGCTTGAATGTCTCAATGAAGGTGTAGTATTTGTACTCTCATTTTCTTGTGGTAGTGGAAGCACACATGTATCGATTGGTACATGAAGTTTTTGAGCAGTGAAAACAGAATTCATAAGTGACAAGTACTGAGAAGAATTGTCATCGGACGCTTTGATAATCATTATTCGAGAAGTGATCTTTTCTGTCCCCTCGCTGAATTCTGTGGAATTTGGAAAGGTATCTTCCATATATCTTGAGGTAGGCTGTAGTTCACGACAACGTCTAAGATGATAGCATAATGCCTTAATTATAGCACCGGCTAGAATTATTTGAGTGCATGAGGAAGAGCACGACGTTACAAGATCAAGGGAGAGTTGTCTGACAGTGTTATTCATGCAGCTTAGTGCGTTGTTTTGTCCATCATTCGTCGGTTCACCGGCATGTTCTAGGTTATTTGGATAGATGAACTTTGTATGGCAAGGAGTGACACCGATCATAGCTAGTTCATTGTATGAAGACAGCATTAAATAACTGTTAGCGAAGCCAAGGACAGCTTCAATGCAATCTGGCAGTCCGAATTCACTTGTGCATGAGCCCCACGTAGCAGGAGTCATGTCCAAAATTAACAACAACAAGTTCTTCACTTCTGATGATGACATGTTACTAATTAAGCAGAGAAATCAAGGACAATTTGAACAAGAATATTTTCAAAGTCTTCAGGGGTAACCGATGTTCGGTTATTCTGTTTCGCCAACGACACAGACCGTCTAAAAGCCTCTGAGAAAAATTCAACAGAAAGGGAAAAGGTCTTACCTGATAAGTATACAACTGCTAAATGATCACAAAGAGAAGCAGCTTCACTGTTAACTAGTAGTGACTGTGAGTAACATAACAAACCTACTTTTCGTCTTTGTATCTACAAAAAATGACTTAAGGATAGAAGAGGTAATTTGTTCCTGAAGTATTAGCAACTATATGTCGAAATCATACCATAAAACTTAACAACCACAAGGTCAGGGTCCAGTGGGTTTCAACGAAGTCCCTGAGGTCATTGTGACCTTCGCCGTCTGTACGTTAAAATAAAAGCAGTCAAAAAATTGCCTGGTTTGTGAAAAACCTTTTGGCCACCACCGCATATCTTCTGGGTTTCCAGCCAGACATACTTTCACTTCTAGCTCTGGTACCTACCTACTACTGTTAGGTATTCTATGTCTCGATATTTCGAACTGAAACTGACCAGTACTTCAGGTCAAGTAGCCAAAAAAACTCTACAGCCATTGAACAAATCGTAACTGGGTCATTGTAATCCATAGGAGTAGACCGTACTGCATTATGGCTTACGTGCCACTCGTCTATACACCTTTGTGTGATTCTATGTGGAATATAATATACGTGTAATATAATACACACATTCTAACAGTGCCCATATGTTTTTAAAAATTTTACTCAATTTCTGCTGTTATATCTCAGTGTGAATGTCACGTTTATCATCTTTTTTGAAGTTGCCTCTATTTAACTCATTTATTTTATTTATTTCGGAAATCACTGCTCGTCTATGTCATTCTCTTAACCCGCGCGCTTCGTGTAGGACGTTACAATCTCTCCATATAACGTGGAAATATCTTTTCGAATTCTGGAATATCGTGGTCTATATTTGACTACTATATAATTATAGCTGATATTGGTTGCACCTCCGGTAGCTAAATATCCAAATTTATCACCTCCAGAATACTATTTGGATCCAGTCAGATTCGTGTTAATAAAGAGCAATCTATCACAAAAGAACTATAGAGAAGTCCTTAGTTTTGTTGCTTATAACTGTCAGAGTTAATCCGTTTGATAGTGGTCTATTTTTAGTTCGTACCTCATACATTCATACCTGTTTATTGTTGCTTTTATCTACTTAGATAATATAACAGTATTTCACACACTTTTGTCAATTTTTGAGACATTTTTATAATCTTTACCTCCATAATGGTCAAAGTTATTAAACGAGTTAGTACTGTTAAGAGACTAGCATCAAATAGTCAGCAGGTCACTAGAAACATTAGTCCTGAAGATGAATTTGTACTAAGATCAATTGATACACCGAGAGTTATAGTACCAAACTTAATGGAAGAACTAATCGATAACGTAGCCCGTAACACTAGTGATCTGAAGATCCTTCAGAAATCCATAACAGACCTGCAGGATAAGTTTGAAAGTATCACTCCTTTCCTCCAACTTTGTGATCCATCACAAGAAATTTGCTTAGATTCACTCCTCAAATCTGAGCGCCTGCCAGACTTTTTGACTGCAGAGGCTGTAAAGAGGGTCATGTCCTCATACAATGTTTTAGGATATAATATACCAGACAATGTACCTATTATCAAACTTAAAGCAATCTGTCTACAGGCATGCAACATTTCAGTATCTGACTGCCAGGTTCTGCGTCTTCGTAAGAAATCCGCAAAACACCCATGTATTGTACTCTTCAAATTTAAGTCTATTGACCTAGCTAAGAAATTTTTGGAGTCTGGCAAAACTCTTGGCTCCTCAACACCCTACACCAATATCAGGATTGTACCTGATTTAACTTCTTGCCAAAGACGTTGCCGCGCAGGTAAACTGAGGGAAGACAACCCCAATAAGACAACCGATGTTAATACTTCCCTCGTTGTATTGCCTGATGACCAAGAGCACCAGATAATATCGCATACACAAACTAACAGTAGTCAAGCAACTGTTGAAGACTTAGCTCTAAATACCGAAATTTCAGACCTAGAAATGTCAACAGATCACAGTATTGACGTGCATCCCTTGTACACTGGCACTAATGCCAAACCCTCGAAAAAGTCTAAGCTGAATTCAGTTGTACACTTTGAATCTCTCGGGAAGTCATATACCTCACAACCTCTTAGCCCGGCTACTGTGAAGCAGCAATCACATGTGGCCACCCAGGTTGGCGTAAATACAAGGCGATATGATAAACGTCCTATTTCCGTTAGGAACACCAAAAGAACTGTTGAGACTATTCAACAGAGATCCAGTTTATTAGGAAATCCTACTAATCACCAGCAGCCCAAATTATACAGGCCGACTAATACGGATAAAGCTAAACCAAACGTTAGACCCGGAACACTAAAGCCCATAAGTAGGAAAGTTTCAAATGGGTCACTGGCTCATTCTACTGATAGGCAATCATCTAAACTTAGTCATGTTCCTGAAGTTAGACGTAATTCACATACCGTAGGAGCTGAATCATTTCCGACTTCTACTACCAGTCCTATGATAAGAAAAAACAATCGTCACATATCTCACCAAACACTTCGAAAACACGAAGTTGCTCAACCCCTCACGAATGCACCCTCAACCATGATGTACAGGAAACATCAGTTTGAGAATACAGACGTTAGTCCAAAAACGCGTATAGTGCCCTGTCATAATTCTCATGCATTCAGTAGGGGTCAAATGCCAATTTCAGCACAATGCTCATCATGGCCTAGGAAGTACTCTAATCAGACACAGGGATCTAAGTCATATGCACACAACAACACGCCGATCACACATTTTGGTTATAACTATGCAGATTACACGACACTAGCCAACCCATATGACCAAAATTTTCTCCAGCGACAACTGGCAGAAACGCCTGGGATCATGCACATAGCACGCATGATATCAGACCAATTCCTTGCTGGTATAGCGAACACCTTACAACAGGGAAACTGCTTCTTCCCCGAAAGATAGCAAACATCTTATACACACCTAATACCAATAGTAATACCGTAGATTATCATACTGTAACAACAGAAGACAAGGCCGAAGCAACAGATCGTTTTATTATGAAAATCAACACGTATTTATACATGTTTCATATACATTATTATAGACAAGCGCAGTCATCTGATTGGTTGTTTATCAGAAGTTAGGCAGACAAACGCAGGCTTCTGATTGGTTGTTTCGGGATTCCTCGACAAATAGAGTTCTCTATCTGCGAATCATATTTTGCCACGTTAACTTTGCTGTGATTGGTTGTTGAATCAGCCTTGTTCATATTTTCTCACGGCCCATATTAACGTAGATTAGTGTCAACCAATCGGCTAGCAGCCTGCTCTCACCACACTCGTCCCCCCGTCAAATAGCTTCGTGCGCAGACGTTCCGACCTTCTGGGTGCTACATCCTCTAGTTGAGGATTGTTACTGACCGGCTTGTCCCACTGTACCCATCTTTGGAGCTGACTGGCGTTAACTCGTTTCTGTTTATCACCTCTTCGGATGGTATATACTTGACCCCGTCTTTTTGTGATTGTGTATGGTCCTTCCCACTTTGGAAGGAGTTTCCGTGAACCTAGCCCGCCTCCAACTGTATATCTCCTGTCTCTACACTTCACTTGGTCCCCGACTGCAAAGGTAATGCACTGCGTCTTTCTTTCCATCTGAGACTTCGCGACATCACTGCGCTGCTTCTTCATTACATTCTTGACTGCCTCTTTCCTCTCTGCTTTTAATTTCGTCGTACTCCACTTTTGGTGCATGGGCCAGGTCTCATTGTGTACTGGTAATCGTGGTTTTCTACCATACATCAGTTGGAAGGGTGACTTCTTCGTTGTTTCCTGAGTGGTAGCACGATGTGTTAGTAA